ATAAGTAGAAGTACTTTGGAATGGCGGCTGCATCGGAGGACTGAGCACTCATGGAAATGCCCAATGTGTAGTGACGTCGATTGTGATAAAATATTTCTGACTTACAAAAGAGTTTTAATGGGGCAAACTATTGTTAGATACTATGGCTTTCCTCTGAATAACAGTCCCAAATTATCGAGTCCGAAAATATACCCTAACATGTCAATTTCGGACTTCCGGCGACTTGAATTGCGCACATCCGGCGACTTCCGCCACCGCCGAGAGTATCTCAAACGCCGCTACGCGCGGCGTGGATTGGGGCTAAACTAGATGGCTAGGACTCACGAGCAGCAGCTACCGCATCTCCTGCAGCTTCCTTCATTGTTTTTGCTCGTGAGTCCCAGCCATCTAGTTAAGCCCCAATGCGCGTAGCGGCGTGGGAGATACTCTCGGCGGTGGCGGAAGTCACTAGAAGTTCGCAATTCGGCGGTGGCAGTATAGTCCCCGGAAGTCCGAAATTGACACGTGAATGAGGCCCTGTTAGGGTATATTTTCGGCCTCGATAATTTGGGACCGTTATTAGGAGGATAGCCGATATTATTATCGATTATTTCACTATGTGTGCTCTCTGTGACGATCCCTGAGCATTCCATTTCATGCCTGTCTGTTTATTGTCGCTTTCCTTAATTCCACATGTCAGTGAATGAGAAATGTCAGCATGTTCGATAAGCGAAAGACACAACACTAGACCGACGTGCACAAAATTAACTTACGGTGCACAGATAGCTTGCTGTTTACGAAACAAACACTAGGCCAACCTGCACAAAATTAACTTACGGTGCACGTATAGCTTGCCGAGTAGGACACAAACACTAGGCCAACGTGCACAAAATTAACTTACATTTTTTGCCATTTTGTCAAGTCGAGTTGAACATCAGGGAGAACTGGTTCATAAATAGCATCCTGTCCTGAAAGTTGAAGTATTTTGGCCATATCCAGCGTCATGCTGGCTTAAAAAGGACAGGGATGGAGGGTACAGTTTGTGGAAGGCTAGGCAGGGGTTGACCACCGCGAAGATGTATACGGAACATTGAAGAGGCATTGGCACTGAAAGCAAATGTGGCCAGAGAGCTGGTTAGGGAAAGCGATACTTTCCGGCGTGTCGTGTAGAGAGCGACGTTCTGTAAAGGACTTGTTGAGTGATGATGATATCATCATCATCATGTGCCCTGACAACTGGCATAGGCGCTAATGCGTCTCCACAGATCACGATCCCTAGTTGCCTGGATCAGCTCTCTTGGTGATATCCCTCCATGCCATCTTTTCAGCCCATCCAGCATCATCTCTCTTGGTCTGCCTCTATCCCTTCTTCCACTGATCTTTCCAGTTGGCAAGATGTTCTCCGGTGTCTCTCTTCTCCTTTTGTGGCCAAAGAACACTGTTTGTCTCTTTCTTATTGTTGTATATAGAGATCTACTTTCATTAGCTTCTTTCAAGCAATCGTTGTTAGTTACTCTAGGCCTCCAAGGTATTCGTAGCATTCGTCTCAGAAACCACATCTCTGTTGCTTCCAAATTCTTCCTAATTTGTTCACTGACATTCCAAGATTCCCTGTCATACAGCAAAACAGGCTCTATGTAACATTTTAGCACCCTCTTGATGATGATATATTCATATATATAGAGATATAATCACAACTAGCAATTGTCTACGTCTAGTAGTGTCTCAACTCTTCATCATCATCATTTAGTAGCTCCTTTGTTAGAACGTCGCTCCCATAGCATACGTTCTCCCATGTTGGCATGCAGATAGGTAGTTTGTCTCTTCCAGTCACTAACTTATCATGCATCAGTATTTCACCAAGCTGTGCAGAGCCAGCCAGTCTGTCCGCATGTTCATTTTCCAACACACCGGCGGTTCCCGGTGAACAAATCCAGACGATACTCCTCACTCGTGTCCTCCGCAGTGAAGCATGCCACTCTGCACGAAGCATGCCTGATCTTTCCTAGCATCCGTCAGTTACGATCGCGATTTTTTTTTTCTCTCAATTTTTTAAAATAAGTTTTCTTCTTGTCACACATTGTTTAGATGTAGGGGACATGGGTATAGGTAGAGTCAATTGAATATACTGTAGAACCTCGCTTAACGAGCACCTCTCATGCAAGCACACGTGCAGAAATTGGGCTAATCCCACAGGAGTTATTTTCAATGCTGCCTGTAACGACATCCTAGCACTTCGGTCCTACCTATTCGTGCTCCGTCCTTTGAGGCCCTAGACATCTCAGTGTCTCCATTCTCGACTTTCTCTGTCCCGTAGCTGGTTTCCTCATGCTTGTCCTTGTTTCTTTCCCTCATACACATGTCTAAAACCATGCCGAGAAATGTGAAGACAGGGATGCTTTGAGCAGAGTGGCAAGCTTCACTGGGAAGGTCACAAGTAGTGAGCATACTTTAGATCTTTTCTCCAGGCTATGGCGGCGTAGTTGATAAGGAACAGGCAGACAGATTGGCTGGATCTGCACCACTGCATGGTGAATTGGTACATGACAGGGCAGATGTGGTCAAGGTCCTTTGGGAACAAGCAACGGAATCAGTAGAGAAAGACGATTATTATGGCTTGGAGACAATGAGGCACCTGGGTGTAACCAGAGGGTCTGGCTGGCTCACTACACTCAGCGGAAAGGCAAGACGGACCTATAACCAGATTGTGACCAGTACCATCAGTATTGGAACTCTTGTGCTGGCTGCTGAAGATGAAGACGGAGCACGCATGGGATTGCCCCAAGTGCTGTGATGTCAATTCTTGACTTAACTGTTAAGTACCCATTTGCAACAGGCACTACATTATCTTTTGACTGCTTTGTTTCAAAGTCTCTGGAAAGCTGCGCATTTAATATGTCTGCCATGTGAATACTTTTCCCCCACCAACTACTGCAGTCTAGGCAAATCTTTCGGCTCTTTCATTTCCTTTCACTCCGGTGTTTCCTGGTGTGCACAACCAAGAAACTTTCTCGAGACGGGCAGTAGGTAGATGCTATGCTGGGAAAAAATCTTCACATTCAACCAACATCCCCAAAAAGAGGAGATTTAGGTTATAATTGTGACTAGGTTATGGGCGCCATATAAAATGGCTTAACGTTACATGCCACCAAGGGCCGTGAAAAGGACTCTTGCAGTGTTTATGGGATCAAAGGAGACAGTCCTAAATACAGTCGCGACCGGCAATATAGTCATCTACCGGCCAACTAGTGAGCGACCCTGTAGCCGATGATGTCCATACGTCTTACACTACCAGCTGCTACATGGCCAGTGTGTCGGCTCTTTCATTTCCTTTCACTCCGGTGTTTCCCGGTGTGCATAACCAGGAAATTTTCTTGAGATGGTAACTGGATACTGTCAACCTATTCGGAGTTTGCCAGTTTGGATACTTGTAATGGTTAGACCGGCCAGGTGAAACTTACAGTTCACTGCGGGTGAGGGTGATCCTTGTACCTTGGGAACCGCATTAACCCCATACCACGGTGGAACTCCTCAACCCGAATACCACTTAATCAGACTCAAAAGTAAAAACCCCTAGAATTCCAGAAGTTTCAGAACTAAGACCCAAAAAAGCGCTAATTGGCATCATTCAAGCATCATCCAATTCAAGGCTGGGTCGACATGTGAGCCAAGGTCATTTTTTTAAAAACAAGTCCGGTACCGTCAGAATCCGAATCCACGACCTGCTGATCCGCAGGCAAGCGACTAGCCGCTACACCACTGTGATTGTGTGGGTTTCTAGTTGGACTAGTATGTGGGTTAATGTAGGGGGGGGGGGGTTATTGTGTGGGTTTCTGTTTGGACCAGTATGTGGGTTAATGTGTGTGTGGGGGGGGGGGGGGGGGGTTATTGTGTGGGTTTCTGTTTGGACTAGTATGTGGGTTAATGTGTGTGTGTGTGTGTGTGGGGGGGGGGGGGGGTTATTGTGTGGGTTTCTGTTTGGACTAGTATGTGGGTTACTGTGGGGGTTATTGTGTGGGTTGCCGTGTCGTTAAATTTGCGTGTGACTGTGTCGGTAACTTTGTGGGTTGCTGTTTGTGATTGCATGTTTCTGTGTGAGTTTCTTTGAACAGTATTGTGTGGGTTGCTCTGTGGATTACTGCGTTGCTATGTGTGTTATTGTGTGGGTTGCTCTGTGGATTACTGCGTTGCTATGTGTGTTATTGTGTAGGTTTCTCTGTGGATTACTGCGTTGCTATGTGTGTTATTGTGTGGGTTGCTCTGTGGATTACTGCGTTGCTATGTGTGTTTTTGTGGGGGTTACAATGTAGGTTTCTTATTGTGTTACTGTCTAGGTAATTGTGATGGTTACTGTCTGTGTAATTATGATGGTTACTGTCTGGGTAATTGTGATGGTTACTGTCTGTGTAACTTTGTATGTCTCTGTGTGGCTTTCTGTTTGGGTTACTGTGTGGATACCTAAAAAAAGGGGTGGGGGCGGCGGGGAGAGGGGGATGAAAAACTTTTGACAAATTGACCTTCGAGCCCACCAGGACATCATACCGAGCGATAGACACCCGGTGACACAAAGTGCCTCCATTCGGATGAGGATCGCCCGGGGACAGGTCCCAGAAACCCTGTTGAACCCAGAGTTTTTGTTTTTTTTTTTTAAATAAGTATCCAGAAACCATGAGTTTTTAACTCTTTGGCTCGGTCCTATGGATATCGCAACCCTTCGGCCTTGATTCCATGATAGGTACCGTAAATCTGGGAAAAATGTGGCTTTTCTGTCTATCCCCTGGCGTGAACCCGGACCACAAGGAGTTCGTCATCCGGTTACCCCGAAGTCAGATTTAACCAACTACGCTAGCGAGCCGGGCAGAGGTGGGATTACAAGCTCCAGACAACAACCGAGGTCGGGCTTAAAAATAACCAAAATTGCGTCCTTCGTGGGGACGTATGGTGTTTCACTTTTGACAGCTGGATGACATCTGGCCTGTAGAACTGTACGTGAAGGTTTGTTCTGTTTGTTCCCATCACAGGACTGTGTTTGGTCCAATGAGGGCTGTACCGAGGATTCCGAGTGCTGTAGTAAGTCTTGTCATACAGCCCACGAGGGGACCAACCCGCGGTGTCGGCACAGCACTCTCGGGGAGAAGTGTGTCTTTGATTATCATAGATATTGTGAGCGCCCTTTGGGAGCGAGTGAACAGTGCGGAGGTGCAGATAGATTATTACGGTCTGAGGAGAATGTTACTGGGAGGAGTTACCAAGGGATCTGGCCGACGCTCAACACTCAGGGGAAGGATGAGACAATGAGACGGTTACTGGTACCATCAAAATTGGAACTCTTCGCTTGCTGCTGAAGATGTGAAATGAGCACTTATGGTAGTGTCCTGAATGCTGTGATGTCGATTCTTAATTCTACATTTAACATTATTGCCAGATTCACAAAAATGTTTTGTGGCAAAATGATTTTTTTGATGTTTGTAATTATATTTTATCTGTAATTTCATCAGTTTGTAATTTTTAGATTTTTCACCTTGTCTATTTTAATGCCTTTTTTTTTTTTAATTCAGTATATCCATGAAATGGCATTTCTTTTTCCAGTTTAAGTAACTAAATTTCTTGTTAAGGTTCTAATGAAATATTTTTTCAGTCTGTCCATGTAATGACATGTTTTTTCAATAATTTTGTCCATGTAATAATTACATTTCCACATTGTCCTTTTCGGTGACACTTTGTACATGCATGAGATATTTACTTTTTCCGCCTATTTTGATATTTTCTTAACTGGTCTGACTTTTTCTACACATATTTTATTTGTCTGTCAGTTTGCACGATATTTAGCATTACTATCTCTAACCATGTTCGTATTATTATCTTGTCAAATTTCATGACATTTTTTACTTTGTCTGATGTTTACTTTCTGTGTGCATTTTATGGATATTTGACCTACCCATTTTAATGGAATTATTTGTTACATTTGTCCTTTTTTGAAATTGTTAAATTCTGTTTTCATGACAAATTTTTTTTTTCAACTTTTGATATGTATAACATTTGGTAAACTAAGTTCCATTGTTAATTCTCATTACATGACTTACTATTGCTCAGATCTGATACTGGTACAATTCTCTGCAGTGTCTTGTTACATGACTTACTACTGTTGTCACATACTGCTCGTGTGGCGTGCCTGTTTTACGGATTCCTCCTTAAGAACCAACAGCACTCTGAAATAGAATAATGTTGAGGTGTCGGCTCGTATTGGTCTAAAGGGTATTCCGTAGCCAATATACACCCAACCTATTTCAGGAGTAGGGCAACTCAAGTTATGGCACTACAGAATATATAATAATCCTAGGCTGGACGTCCCCAGTATTATAAGAAGATAGCACCCAGGCTATGATATTGTAATATCACAGCCATGTTAACACAGATTAAGATTAATGATCACACATACATAAATGCTAGACAGTTTGAACAGTGAAACAGGGACACCCAAGTCAGTAATGAAAACTTCAAAAGGCATGTAATAAATGCAACACACACACACACACACACACACATATATATATATATATATATATATATATATATATATATATATATATATATATATATATATATATATATATCATCAAGACAAGCAAGGATGTTCCCAGGTGAATGAAGTTCAGGAACTAAAGTCCAAATAGTACTGCTGAATCAGCCAGAGTCAGTCTATGAGAGTATCGGTGATCATCATCATGGCTCCAGGTGGACCTGTAAAAAGAGCATGAGGTATATGATCACTGAAGCACTTATCCAAGTGTGATGGATGTCACTGCTCTTCTCAGTCCATGGTGATCTGAACAGGATGATTCAGGTAGACTGCTTCTTTTCCTGGTAAACACTGACAGAGTTCATACACTGGAGCTCGACAAAGCTCCTGAGGAAGGTTCTCCTTGATGGATAACAAATGGGTGGCCTGCAACAACTGTCTTTTAGCAACTGGAGCCCAAACAAGCTCCTGAAGAAGGATCTCCTTGAGTGATGACAAATGGGTGGCCTGCAACAACTGCCTCTTAGCCACTGGAGCCCAAACAAGCTCCTGCCATGTTGAAGTTGTGGTGGTATTAGGCACTATTAGTGGATGGTGGTTGGTGGGACTGCTGATCGTCTGCCTGACTTCCAGGGAGGTATCATCATGTGTCAGGAAGGAACTTAGAATTAGTATTAATCTCAGGAGTCACATACCTAGCTCAATTTATTTCCCTCTACCCTTCTCAGTCACTCAGAGGATAGCTCTCAGAATAATGAGACAGTTAAATCTTCATTTATCTCTGTCTGTCAGTCAGTACAAAAGATAGGAGACAAGGTCCATATTGGAGATAGACTCTAGTACACACAGGACATCATCTCTCCACATCACATCTGCACTTGTAGACACGCATCCCATCTCTTTCTCACATATATATTATACCTCCACAGTCTGACCGTAGCTGACACTGTTGTGTTGTGTCTGCTAAAAATAACCTCTGATGTCACAGCGTCTCGCTCGCTGTAGTTTGACCCAGTTAAATCTGCCGGCTATATCGATCTGAATCTCAGTGTGTTAGAGAATAATGAGCCTGCTAGATTAAAACATTTACATTAATATTGGTCAGGTAGGGCACAAACTATCAGCTTGCGAAGGGAAAGCTTTGGTTTAAGTGGCCGTGAGTACTTGGACACCAAGAACGGTCTTGTTCTGTGCTGTCTCACAGCTGAATCTTTCCTCCCTGCAGCAGCAGGTTAACTTCATAGAGACATATATCATGGTACTCGCAAACTATAATCAACTTACCCAAGCTTTAGACTCAAAATGCCGCCTCCTCAAAGCACAGATACTCGAGGCACATCAGTTCTTCTTGGCAGTCAGACAGAAAATGAAGCAGGACGCTAGGCGTCACTTTCAAAGAAGTTCCTCTCAAATCAGTACGCCGAGGAGTAAAAAGGCTACTCGGAATCTGACCATTTATCTGAAAAATATTTATCCCACAATCGTAAGTTTGAAAGTGTAGACTTTTCAAGACAACTATAGTATATAGAAATACCTATTACGCCAGATAAAGGTATAAATAGATATGAGGGACTATATACCCACCGGATGGGTCTATATTTGAAATGTGACCTGCCCGTTAGGGGCGTTAATGTGCCTGGGTGGGTTGGATCACTTCCCGACAACTGTGCAGACTGCAGATCTGATACTGGTACAATTTTCTGCGGTGTCTTATTACATGTCTTACTACTGTGCACACTGCAGACCTGATACTGGTACAATTTTCTGCAGTGTCTTATTACATGTCTTACTACTGTGCACACTGCAGACCTGATACTGGTACCATTCTATGCAGTGTCTTATTACAGGACTTACTACTGTGCAGACTGCAAATTTGATACTGGTACAATTCTCTGCAGTGTCTTATTACATGTCTTACTTATTACATGTCTTACTACTGTGCACACTGCAGATCTGATACTGGTACAATTCTCTGCAGTGTCTTATTACATGTCTTACTACTGTGCAGACTGCTGATACTGGTACAATTTTCTGCAGTGTCTTATTACATGTCTTACTACTGTGCACACTGCAGACCTGATACTGGTACAATTCTATGCAGTGTCTTATTACAGGACTTACTACTGTGCAGACTGCAAATTTGATACTGGTACAATTCTCTGCAGTGTCTTATTACATGTCTTACTTATTACATGTCTTACTACTGTGCACACTGCAGATCTGATACTGGTACCTGTCTATGCAGTGTCTTATTACAGTGGTGACTACAAATGTAAGAGCATGTAATAAAAAAAAAAGTTACGCATCAATTCATCCACTGCTATTTTAGCGCCCAGTAAAGGTGCTCGTTGCAGAGTGAGTGCTGTTTAACCCCACCAGGACTGCACAATTCAATGATTAACATCCAATGACACAATTAACATCCGATGACACAATTAACATCCGATGACACAATTAACATCCGATGACACAATTAACATCCGATGACACAAAGTGCTCCCACAAGTCCTAGAAACACCGTTAAACCGTTTGGTTATATTTACCCCCCCCCCCCCCCCACCCCTTCCCCCATCAGCTGGAATGTGGCTTTAAATTAATACCCCACAAATTTGATGTCTTTTTGGTCAAGATAGTTCAACCATCATTCTATCTAAAAATGGCATACTCCATACTATTTACTAGGTGGTCTAAAACTTTAAGCCATCATTGTATGTTTTTTTCTCTTGTATATTTTACCTCATATAATTAAGAAGAATTTGGAGGCAATTGAGTTGTGGGAAAAGAATGCTGCGAAAACCTTGGACTGCCAAACTAATTATAACAATGATTGCCTGGAAATGGCTAACGAAAGTAGAACATTATTATTACAACAATGAGAAGGAGACAAACAAAGTTGTTTGATCAATGTGATAAGAAAAGGAGCAGTGGAAAATATGATGACTGGAAAGATTACTGGTAGAAGAGGCAGAGGCAGACCAAGATAAATATGGATAGCTTAAGACAGTAGCATGGAGAAATATCATCACTGGAATTGGTCCTCCCTGTGTGGGTTCTGGGGCCCCATTATGGGGAAAACAAGAATAGACCCACTGCTTTCCCAGCAAGCATGTCATATTCTTTCGACACACATACATACACTCATACAGATAAGTCAGTCACCCACAAAAGATTTGCGCTCTAAAACACACGCATACAAAAATCCAGACACATATAGACACATTTTCAAAGCTATACACACATACAAACTCCCACGTAGCAGCACAAAAAGACCTATTATGAATATCAAAAAAACAAAAGCATGGGTGGTATAATATGTGCACGCCGCGCGCGACGCACACAGACATAAACCCACACACACACACACATACATACACACACGTAGCCGCACAAAAAGACCCATACAAATATACACACCGATGCACACAGACATAAACCCACACAGACACACACACACATGCAGTCAGTCACAGTCACACACACAAACACATACACACACGCAGACAGGGAAACACAGATACATACACAGGCACGCATACAGTCGCACACAGACATACAGGCAGACGCATAAACCGACACAAACAGACACGCAGACATCATAATAGATACACCGATAAAGACACTCACAGCCACACACATACATACAAATACACTCACAGATGCACACCAGCTGACAAGGCACTTGATGATGATGACATTGACTCTGGCATGTTTTAAATTCATGCTGTGTCTAGATAATTATTTGTAATTGTTGAATTGTTTTGTCTCTTCCCTTGATTTAGCACAATTTGGTTCTGACATTTTGTTGTTTTTTTTACTGTAGAAATTACACCAGAAATCTTACCTGAATCCACTGTGTGTATTGTTATCTACACTTCCCGTGTGGGTTCCAGGGCCCTAGTGTAGGAAAATAGGAACAGACGGCTCTCCTTCGATCTTCCCCCACAAATTATGGCGGCCAAACAAATACCCTAACAGGGCCTCAGTCCTACGCAAAATGCGGAGTTCCTGCCATGAATAAATCGCGGCAAAACTAGGATCGGCTCCGAATAACAGGCCAATATTATCGAGGGCAAACAAATGCTCTAACAGGGTCTCAGCGATATGTTAATTGTGGACCTGTTTCTGCGACTATATCGCACTGCCGACAGCATCCCCAGGCGCAGCTATGCGCGTTGCGGATGGGGGAGGGGGGCTAAACTAGATGGCTGGGACTCCCGAGCAGCAGCTACCGCATCTCCTGCAACTTTATTTGCTCCCTGATTGACTGACTCACTGATTGACTGACTCACTGATTGACTGACTCCCTGACTGACCGCCTCACTGACTGACTGCCTCCCTGACTGACTGCCTCCCTGATTGACTGCCTCCCTGATTGACTGCCTCCCTGACTGACTGCCTCCCTGACTGACTGCCTCCCTGACTGACCGCCTCCCTGACTGACTGCCTCCCTGATTGACCGACTCCCTGACTCACTGACTCCCTTGACCGACCGACTCACTGACTGATGACCCACCTACCCGACTGACCGACTCACTGACTGATTGACCGACTCACTGATTGATTGACCACCTCCCTGACTGACCGACTCACTGACTGATTGACCGACTCACTGACTGACTCACTCACTGACCGCCTCTTTGACTGACTCACTGACCGCCTCCCTGACTGACTGACCACCTCCCTGACCCACTCACACACTGACTCAACAAAATAGACGGCACTCACACAACAAAATAGACGGATAGACGGAACTCACACAACAAAATAGACGGATAGAAGGCACTCACACAACAAAATAGACGGATAGACGGCACTCACACAACAAAATAGACGGCACTCACACAACAAAATAGACGGCACTCACACAACAAAATAGACGGCACTCACACAACAAAATAGACGGTACTCACACAACAAAATAGAGATGATGTCCGCCACAGATGTCATCCTTAGACGATGTCCGCTGACTGACACACTGAATGACTGACACACTGAATGACTGACACACTGAATGACTGACACACTGAATGACTGACACACTGAATGACTGACACACTGAATGACTGACACACTGAATGACTGACACCCTGACCAACTGACCACCTCCCTGAACTGACTGACACACTGACAAACTGACCACCTCCCTGAATGACTGACACACTCACTGACACACTGACTGACTGACTGACTGACTGACACACTGTATGACTGACACACTCATTGACTGACTCACTCATTGACTAACTCACTGATTGACTGACTGACTGATCCGCTCACTCAACGAACCGCTCAAACACTGACCGACTCAAACACTGACCGCACATGGACACCAGCTCCGGCGACACATCTCTGGTGGACACCAGCTCCGGGGGCACATCTCTGGTGGACATCATCCCCAGGGGCACATCTCTGGTGGACATCATCCCCAGGGGCATATCTCTGGTGGACATCATCCCCAGGGGCATATCTCTGGTGGACATCATCCCCAGGGGCACATCTGTGGCGGACACCAGCTCCGGGGGCACATCTGTGGCGGACATCAGCTCTGAGGGCACATCTGTGGCGGACACCAGCTCAGGGGGCACTTCTCTGGCAGAGACCAGCTACAGGGGCACATCTCAGGCGGACACCATCTCCGGGGGCACATCTCTGGCAGACACCAATTCTGGGGGCACATCCCTGGTGGACACTTTTCTCCAGGGCACATCTCAGGTGGACACCATCTCCAGGGGCACATTCTGGCAGACACCAATTTTGGATACACATCCCTGGTGGACACTATCTCCAGGGCACATCTCTGGTGGACATCATCTCCTGGAGCACATCTGTAGCAGACAGCATCTCCGGGGGCACATCTGTAGCAGACAGCATCTCCAGGGCATATCTCTGGCATACACCAGTCCTGGGGGCACATCTCTGGTGGACACAATCTACGGGGGCACATCTCTGGTGGACACAATCTACGGGGGCACATCTCTGGTGGACACAATCTCCGGGGGCACATCTCTGGTGGACACAATCTCCGGGGGCACATCTCTGGTGGACATCATCTCCTGGGCACATCTCTGGTGGACATCATCTCCTGGGCACATCTCTGGTGGACATCATCTCCAGGGGCACATCTCTGGTGGACATCATCTCCAGGGGCACATCTCTGGTGGACATCATCTCCTGGGCACATCTCTGGTGGACATCATATCTAGGGGCACATCTCTGGCATCCGGGAGCACATCTCTGGCGGACATCAGCTCCGGAGGCACATCTCTGGCAGACAGCAGCTCTAGGGGCACATCTCCAACGGACAGCAGCTCCGGGGGCACATCTCTGGCAGATAGCAGCTCTGGGGGCACATCTCTGGCAGCCAGCAGCTCCAGGGACACATCTCTGGCGGACATCATCTCCGGGAGCACATCTCTGGCAGATGTCATCTCCGGAGGCACATCTCTGGCAGATGTCATCTCCAGGGGCATATCTCTGGCGGACATCATCTCCGGGGGCACATCTCTGGCGGACATCATCTCCGGGGGCACATCTCTTGCGGACATCATCTCCAGGGACACATCTCTGGCGGACATCATCTCCGGTGTATGGTGTACTACAACAATACTCAGCTTCCACAGTAACACATTACAGTTTTGCTCGGTAATGGTCAAACAGTACCAAATGTTGCGCAACTTCGGCAGCCCTGTTATTGACCACTTCTCACAGGCAAAGTCAGGGCCGTTCTGAGTTGACCTCTGCACGTCGGCCGGGGATGGTGGACTGACTGTCAGTGTTGGCTTGAGCGATGTTCTTCCGTGATTCCAGTCTGCAACACTAACATATCAAGAATGAGAATCCCACAGGTGCAAACCCCGCAAACCCCGTTTAACCGTATAGCCACATCATCATCATCATCAAGTGCCTGGCCGACTGGCATGGGCGATTATGCCTCTCCACAGTCTGCAATTTATCAGTGCGTCGACGCCCCTCCATGCCTTGACTTAATAATATTGGGCGATGTTCCTATAATAGTTTCAAGGTCAAGTCAAACTTAAAATGAGCGGTCCTAAATGAGAAATATTAAGAAACAAAATACAAATCAAAACTAGATACATGGTTGGTTGATTGATTACTGATTTAAGAATGGACGTCATAGCACACCGGCCATAACTATAGATGAACCTTATGTCTTAAGCCAGGACCGGCAGGAAAATCTGATTGTTCGCCCACTCCTGAACGTTGGTCTTGTTCCATAACATGAAATTTTTTTGCAGATCCTTTTTACAGATCTGGTTTATTTCTAGCAAGCTTTTGGTTCTTGTTGAAACTCCCAGGATGATTTTCTTTTCAAGCGGGGAAAACGTGGTTAGATAGTAAGGGAATTTAAAGCGATGCCTAAGTAATTGCACATTGTCCATTCTAATAAAAGTTATATGTTAACAAAATACCATCGATATACATCAAATTGTCAAGGGCATATGAAATAGCTTAGGCTATGTGACTGTCCCGCCCACTCTCGTTATCTGTCAATAATGTACTTTAATTGTATACGACCACAACTCGTCGGCTTCGAGATTTCGTAGGGAATTCCTAGGGGTTTCCCTGGTCAGTACCATGTTAAGGAGGGGGGGGGGGGTAGGGTTAGGGTTAGTGTTAAATGAATAGCAACTATTAGCAACCCTAACCCTCCCCCTATTCTATGGAACGCTGTGGATTTCCCTACCAAATCTCAAAGCCAACGAAGTATGGTCGTATACAATTAAAGTACTGTCAATAATTTTGGAGCCAGTGGCAGTAGATTCTACTTTTTTTCAACGGTAATCGTTTACTAATCTTTTTTATTCATTCAGTGGCCCCGGAGCCCAACGAGAGTGCAACAGTAAGGGGCTATAGGATTCCGTATAGGTACCGGTTGAGGACCGCTGTTTCCCCACCCCTCCCACAATATTTGTTTGATGAACTTTGAACTTTGAGGTCACGTTTATCCCTGCAAGTGTTATGAACTTTGAACTTTCGGGTCACATCTGCTGCTGGACATGGCGAGGAGAGTCGGTGTTGTAGGCTATGGCCATTTAGGTAACATGTTCACTGTAATTACCTTTATTTCTGGCTGCTTCATTTATACAACAGTGCTGTAGTCAATAGTTAATCAGTAATAAACGACAACTGTGTTTTGACTTTTGGGGGGAAAAACCACAACTAGAAGCTGATGGCGGCATCACTGACGAGTCCCTACTAGTTAGTACGGCCACATATTGGGGGAGTACGCCGGAGTTCAGTCCCCTGGCCGCATTGAAATTACGGAATGGAGAAGGAACGAATCACACAACAAAGTGACGTCGCTAACCCTAACCCTATGATGACAGCAGTGCACTGCACCCAACCCTAACCCAAACCCTAACCCTATGATGACAGCAGTGCACTGCACGCTGTCTATCGCTCACGCTGTCTATCGCCAACACACACTAATTACGTCATTTGTGTCGTTCCCTCTGTTCCACTCCGTAATTGCAATGGGGGACTGAACTCCGGCGTACTCCCCCAATATGTGGCCGTAGTTTCAAGGAGAGCCGTTTAGTACAACCAACAGTTACAACATACACAATCCTTACTTCTACTCAGTGGAAACTACACACATTCTTGCTTTCACCTACTTTCATCTTCCCCCGAAGTTCTCTGTGGTCTTGAGTACATCTAGCTTGTCATGCATACAATGACCACCCAGTGGTGCCAGTCGAGCTGTCTGCTTGTTTATTTTCTAACACACCTGCTTACACACGAGAAACCCATACTCCGGATCCCTGAAGCATTGCTTGCCACTCTGCATTGAGCATGCCTTTCTCATCCTGCTTTGTGAGTCATCCTTGTGAAAGTGAAATTTGTTTCATTCTATTGTTAAAACTGAGCATTTTATTTGCATGTACATTATTTATATTAAAAGTAGGGCTGTACCGAATAGTGATTTTCACTATTCGGCCGAATACGAATAGTGAATCATCATCATCAGGTGTTTCGCCGACTGGCATGGGCGATTATGCCTCGCCACAATCTACGGTCTCCTGCAGCATGTATTAGTTCGTGTGCTGACACACCTCCATGCCATGCAACAAGACTGTCAAGAATCTTTTCTCGTTGTCTTCCTCTATCCCTCCTTCCACAGATCTTTTCAGTGGTCACCGCATGTTCCATTTTACCTCATCTTATAACATGGCCGAAGACTGATGACTGTGTCCTTTTGCTGTCTGTGAGTAGTTGTCTTCGGGCTCCCGCCTCTTTCAAAACCTCTTGGTTGCTCTTTTTGGCTGTCCAAGGTATTTTAAGCATTGTTCTGTAAAACCACATCTCAAACAATTGTTAGGCCTGCCTACCGATTGTCAAGGATCACAGCCAGATGTTAAAACTGGATGTATGTAGCAAGCAAGAATTCTTTTTCTAACCTTCAATGACAAAGATATATTGCATAAGATGTTCTTCATTTTTTTTTTAAATGCAGTTTTTGCCTGTCCTATTGTGTTTCTTATTTCAGTAAGGCATCTTCCATCTGATGTTATATATGTGCCCAGATACTTCAATTTATGTACTTGTCCCAAAATAAAACCTTTGACTTTTATTAAACATCTAGGAATAATTAATTTCTTTGATGCCACCATTACTTCTGTCTTCCCACTATTCAAACTGAGGCCCATTCTTCCACTTTCGAATAGTGTATAAAATAGATCTAAAAAATATATATACATATCCATAATGTCACATCTACGCTGAAATTTTACTTCACAAAATGTAGTACAGAATAGTAAACATTTTAAAACATTTCATGTTTTGCATCTGTGGTAACTAATACCTAGGAGTGAAATTATTCTTAGTTTTATAACAAGTAACTAAACTTGTAAATTGTCACTGACAGCTTAGTTAATCCATGAAAGTGGCATTAGCTTTCAAAAAAACAAAACTTCGTTCCATGTTGTCAGCATTAAGGCAGCTTGTCTCACTGAAGATATTTCCAGCTGTACTAAACAGACGTTCACTTGATACGCTCATAGGTGTTGCACTAAGATAACGCTGAACACTATGAACCAGGGTGGAAAATCTTTATATGTTTATTTTCCACCAGTCCAGAAACGGGTGTAAGGTAACCACTATTCGTATTTGGCCCGACTACAACTATTTGGCCGAATACCAAATAGTTATTAGCACCACTATTCAGCCCCGAAGCAAATACGAAGCGAATATTCGGTAAAGCACTAATTAAAAGGCGACAACGTGTTGATTTTTCGTTTGGTTGGGGTTTCTTCACAAACTGAGTAAATTATTTATCGGCTCTCCTCTGAACTTCGTCCCCATATTACAGCGGCCAAACCAATACCCTAACAGGGCTTCAGTATTGTGTAAAATGTGGACTTCCCCTGACGAACACATCGTGGCAAAACTAGGATTACTGTCCATTGACAATTTTGAGAAACACAACAATACACACAATAATGGTGACATGGCGGGGAGACCACGTGCTCTGACGCAGGTTAGCAAAAGTTTTCTTCCGATTAAACTCACTGCCCATCGTATCCCCCGCGCAACGAATAGCGGCGCGAATGGGGGGCTAAACTAGATGACTGGGACTCACGAGCAGCAGCTATTGCATCTCCTGCAACTTCCTCCAGTTTATTTGCTTGTGAGTCCCAGCCATCTAGTTTAGCCCCCCATCCACCCCGCGTGTAGCGGCGCGGGGGTACTGTAGGCGGTGCAGAAACAGGTCTGCAATTAACATTTTGCTGAGACCCTGTTAGAGTATTTGTTTGCACTCGAAAATATTGGCCCGTTATTCAGAGGTAGTCCTAGTTTTGCCGCAATTTGATCCTCCGCAGGCATTCTGCGTTTTATAAATGACTGAGGCCTTCTTAGGGTATTTGTTTGACCGCCTTATTATGAGGACGAAGTTCGGAGAAGAGCCTATTTTTAACTCCCCCACATTTGATTCTAAATACACAAATGGAGTTAATTCATCACTTGTATACTTTATTCTCCATACACAAATGGAGTTAATTGATCACTTGTATACTTGATTCTCCATGCACTAATGGAGTAAATTTATCACTTCTTTACTTTATTCTTCACACACACATTGAATAAATTTATTACTTCTACACTTTATTCTTCACACACTAAAAGCTTTTTGTATTTTCTTGTTTGTTTCTGTTTTAGGCCAGTATCTTGTATCGGAAATTGAAAAAAGAGATGATATCCAACTTGCATTTGTGTGGAACCGTACATTAGACAGCCTCAAAGGAAAAGTTCCTGAAGAAAAAATTCTGAAAGACCTTAATGATTTCAAAGATTGGTAGGTGAATAAGAATGAACTTAGGAAACATTGCAAAACTAACCCGCGGAGAAATCAAAGTGTCCATTATTTCCATAGTTCTGGGGCTCCATTGTGGGGGTAGGGGAGGGGGAAGAATAGACCCACTGCCTTCCTAATAAGCATATCACAAGAGTCAACTAATTAGAGATTTCCTTCAAAGTCGGAGTGGATCTGCCTAAAAGTCATGGAACGACAGCCAGATCTGTTGCAAACTCAAAGTTTTAGAGCAAGACTAAAGTAGAGAAGTGGATGAACAACAAGAACATTCAGCCAGAGTTTGAGAGAATGAACGCAAAGCAACAGAAACTGTTCATATACGCAAGGCTTTATATTTCTTAGATCTGCAGACTGTGTCCTTTTTTTTTTTTAACCCTTGGATGTGACTGGGCCAATCTCTCAGCCCAACAGCAAAATAGCCAAAAAGATGGCTGATCCGATCTGTCAGCCTGGTAATATAAGCCTTGAGATTGGCTGGCTGGTCTTCATACCAGCCGGTCAAGTTGCTTCTAGCATTTCTTGCACATGAGGACTGTTTAGTAGCTGCTAACCTGAAAGTTTGTTAAGTTCTGTAAGTTTCCATCAAATGTTTTTTAGGTGGCGAAAAAGACTTGCATCATAGCAACCAAAACATAGCAGGAGGCAGGAAAAGGAGTAGAACCATGTGCCAGAGGTATTTAAAGGGCCTCCACATGGGTCGTTTCCTAAAACACAAGTGTTAGGACTTATTCAGACTTCTTTCATCAGAAAAATGTACCCAAATTGTTAAATTTAGTCATGTTTGTCCTTAAAAAATTTGTGAAAGCAAATAGAGAGAATCCCCTCCTAGAGGGTCCCTCTTCTTGGCACTGAACTCCAAAAAAGAGCTCCATATTCAAAGGGTTGAGATGCAATCTGTGATGAATGGGAAATTCAGTATATAGAGTTAAAGCTCATACTCAGTCATGCTTAAGGTTTGTTCCTTCCTTGGACTGTCTAGTATCAGAGTATCACCCTGTGTTAACCCTGCACTTGTGAAAGTTTCCTTGGGTGGCAGGAAACGTCATTGCTTTGCCCCTGCCTTCCATTGTTGGCTGACTAGCATTCACATGTCTGTTCTGGATTAGCCTGCATAGATAAGACATTTTCAGACTCACAATAGGACCCTGTAAACTGAATAGTTATATTGAATGGGTCTTGCTGACGCTGCCGTGTGTGATTCAGAGCATGTCTTACAAGACTCTGCCGTGTGTGATTCAGAGCATGTCTTACAAGACTCTGCCATGTGTGATCCAGAGCATGTCTTACAAGGTTGCCATGTGTGATCCAGAGCATGTCTTACAAGGTTGCCATGTGGGATTTAGAGCATGCCTTACAAGACTCTGCCATGTATGATCCAGAGCATGTCTTACAAGACTCTGTCATGTATGATCCAGAGCATGTCTTACAAGACTCTGTCATGTGTGATTAGGAGCATGTCTTACAAGACTGCCATGTGTGATTAGGAGCGTGTCTTACATGGTTGCCATGTATGATCCAGAGCATGTCTTAAAGACTCTGCCATGTGTGATCTAAAGCATGTCTTAAAGACTATGCCATGTGTGATTCAGAGCATGTCTTACAAGACTCTAACATGTGTGATTCAGAGCATGTCTTACAATATTTCTGGGACTATCAGAAAAGAAAACTTGCCCGCATGAGTGAGCTTGCATGACTTTTTGATGTCACCCGCTTTAACAACCATAGACAGTTATGGTTGTTCATCCACTTCTGGACTTAGGTCTTGTTCCAGAACCCGAGTTTTGCATGCACGTCTGTTTTACAGATCTGGCTTATTTATATGCAGACTGTTGGTTCCTGGGAACATTACCTGTAGATGAAGGGGCAAAGATAATGCCCATCAAAGTGCAGTGTCTGTCAGAACTAATCAGAAAGCCTAACCCAGTCAGCAAATGCCCGAGGAAGTTGGCTAGGCTATCCAGATTCCTGTTGTGAATAAACACAGCGCAATTACATCCAGCACGAAAAATATCAGTCTGAGAAACAAGACTAAGGCCCTATTGCAAGGGGTGGGAAATAGCGCCCCCCCCCCCCCCCGCCCAACCCCAAAACAAGCATGTTGTAAAAGTCATATAATCAGAGATCTTGCCTTCAAAGTTGGAATCTATCACCTGAGAAGCAAGGAACCAATAGTCTGCATTTGAAATAAAGCAGATCGGTAAAACATATATATATACACACAAGTTAACTGGGGACAGACCAAAGTCCAGAAGTGGACGAACAACTATAATTTTTTTAAAGGAAGAAAACCTAATGCATATCATAAACTTTACTGTGAAACATATTTTAGGTACACACACACTTAACTGGCAAGACAAGGGTCAAGGTCTAATTAGGACTGGCCAGGAATGTTTTTATTTCCTCTGTTTTTCTTCTGCCGTGGTTTGTATGTAAACCATATTGATCCTATCATCTCAGCTATGCTAATCTTCCATTGTCTGTTTCAGTCATGCTGATCTGATTGTTGAAGTAGCCCATCCAGACATATCCATACAGTATGGATCTTTGTTCCTGTCACATGCTGATTATATGGTAGGTTCTGTGTCACCTTGTATGTAGTTTCAGAGAATTATAACGGCACATTTCTTTTTAATGAAATTTTGAAAAGGTGAAATAAGGTGCCTCTTCCTTCCTGTAGCCTATGAAGCACTTTTGGACAAGGTGGAGTACCTGTTTAGCCCCCTCCCCCCGTAACCACTTAAATGTTGATATCTTTGCTTAGAATTGACCTACAGGCTTTACTGAAGTATTGTTGGATTGTTTATGTTAATCTCTATCCAGCTGTGATAGTTTTTTCATAAGGAAAAACTCACTATATACAACATGACTAGCGTCCCTCTCTGTCAATAAGGGTTCAATGAGAACACCACACAAACAAGGCCACCACATACCCCTGTCCCCCACAAAACTATCCTGGAAATTAACCCTCTCAACAAATGCTCCATGAAGTCAGATGTGTCAGCTGAAATGCCAATATCGCAGCTCTGCTGTAAACAGGCACACCACATTTACATCACTCGGAACAATTGAAAATAAGAATAAGAAACAGAAATCTTGTCCACTCTTTGAAGTCTAGTATATAGAAGGGAATGGTCAAATGTTGAATATTAAATTAAGAATCGACATCACAGCACTCGGACACCCCCACAAGCGCTCCATCCCCATGTTCAGCAGCAAGCGAAGAGTTAAAATTCCGATGGTACCATTAACTGTCTGATTGTATGTCCGTCTTGCCTTTCGCCTGAGTATCGAGTGTTGGCCAGACCCCCCTGCAAATCCTCACAGCGCCATTCTCCTCAGACCATAATGATCTATCTGTGCCTCAGCACTGTTTACTTGATTCCAAAGGGCCCTCACAACATCTAGCTTGTCATATATCAGTTCACCAACAAGTGGTGCAGAACCAGCCAGTCTATCTGCCTGCTCGTTTCCCAACACACTGGCATGACCTGGAGAAAATATCCAAAGAATGCTAACTACCCGGGACCTTTGAAGTGATTGTCGAATTGATTATATCTGCCTGCTCCACAGATAGGTTCTCCGACAGCTTTAGCCGACATCAGTTTGGAGTCAGCTCTCCGTGGGGCAGCTAGCGGCCATGGTCTTTATGTTCCCTCTGGGGCATTCTGGGGTGGAGAGGATATCAAGAAGATGGCAGACAGAGGGACTTTACAGGTAAGTGAAATCATAGCACTGGGATAGGATCCAAGCTGGTTGACACCAGAATTAAAAAAAAATGCTAAGAATTCATGTTTTATTGGTTAAAAGTTAGTTGCCTATTCTCCTTTTTCACATTCCCGGCTGTAAACTCTGGCAGCAAGTTCTGGTTGTTTGTCCACTTCTGGACTCTAGTCCTGTTCCAGAACCTGAGTGTTGCGTGCACATCCTTTTCATAGGTCTGACTAAATCTGAATGCAGACTGTTGGTTCCTTGTCTCTTAGGCAGATGTACTCCGGCTTTGAAGGAACCTCCCTATTAGTCGACTATTGCAATATGCTTTAGGGTCTGTTCTTTTATTTTCCCCACAATATGGTCTGGAGTCCACATGGGCAAGTCACCTTTTCTTTACTGGACGTTGCAGAACTAACCGCCAGTTTTTGTTGTCTGTTCTGGTTTTACATTCAATAGTTTGCCGTTGCTTCTTAAACATTTGACTCTTGATACCACTGTCAAAATCAGTGCAGAGCGGTCTGTTGGTTTGGTAGGTAACCTTTCTTATTTGAAAGTTTAGCCTGAGCTGAATGACATGTTGTACATGTCAAGCCTATGAGGGGCTCACTATTACCAAGATGGACAGATACTAGTTCCCTCATCCCATTGTGTTGTGACCAAGTATAAAGTATAAATGAAGAGTTAACACTTTTGCAGTTATATCTGATGTAAGATTACAAATAGGTGGCACAATGATTTCAGTCACAGGTGGGAGGAAACGTTAAGGTTGTGATGTGTGTTAGCAGGCTCTGTACTAGTTTTACATATCCTTGTGCAACCCTAGCTACATGTCCTCATCAGAGCTACCGATAATAGTTTATGTCAACCTAAACATAGCTGGCAGGGGATCCTACTGTTGGTGACCCCAGAGATGCATTGTCTAGAAATCCTAGGGCACTTTTCAGCACACCCCCTGTGCATGAGTGATTATGCACATGGAAAACTCAGTCATAATGTGAGTGAAGTTCCGTGTGTGGGTTCCGAGATCTCATTGTGGGGAAAACAAAAATAAAAACACTGTCTCTTTAACAAGATGTCGTAAGAGTAAACTAATTGGGTTTTTCCTTCGAAGTCAAAGTGCGTCTGCCTGAGAGGCAAGGAATCAACAATCTGCATACAAGTAAGTCAGATCTGTAAAACGGATATGCATTCAAAACAGGTTCTGGAACAAGAGTTATGTCTAGAGGTGGACGAACAACCAGAACTTTCCGCTGGAATTTACAGCAGGTATACGTGAAGAAGAAGATGAGTGAAGTTTGCTGACGATAAATTCTTGGACGAGCCCAGTACCATAGCAGTGTGTATTGGCTCTGCATATATGGAAACCTCCTTAGATGGTGGGAATACCCATGCTCTGCCCTGCCTTCTCTTGTGAGTCGACCAATTTGCATGCATCTGCCCTCCTGGACGGGATCATGTCAGGGACAAAACCTGTTGATCAGGGGAATGCGAAGTCTTCACACGTAGAACGCTATAAATGTCCTGTGAAACTAACCAGCAAGGCTAACCTGAATAACAAAAGCACGAAGAAGTCGTATGTGTCAGGTGAAAAGCACAAATATCGCAGCTGTGCTGTAAACAGGTACATTTACAACACTTGGATGAATGATTTCAGAAGAAAATTACCTGTAGCAGTCCTTGCTATGGAACTAGTTTGGCTATTACTTGACTGCTTAGTGCACTTATGTTAAATAAGGAGACAGAAAGGTATGAAACTTTGCTTATATCTACAGGCCTTGAAAGTGACAATGACGAAACATCCAGCAGCTTTCAAGTTGAGTGGCAAGCTGAAAGACATTAATGACACGGTCACTGATACTCCTGTTACGTTGTATGAAGGTATTTCATCATCTTCTTCTGCTTTTGCTTCATCTTCTTCTTTTTCACATTCACTGGCTGGTTGTTTGTCCACCTCTAGATTTTAATATTGTTCCAGACTCGGAGTGTAGCATGCACATCTGTTTTACAAATCTGACTAATATGTATGCAGACTGTTGGTTCCTTGCATCTCAGGCAGATGCACTCTGACTTTGAAAGACTGACCCCAGTTAGTCGAATTTTACAACATACTTGTTGAGGAGATAGTGGGTCTTTTCATGTTTTTCCCCACAGGTGGGCACTGGAACCCTCACAGGGAATCTGAAAGTACAAGTTCACCTGGGTTGTTTACTGGCTTGATTAGATTCAGGTACTTTTAGAGCTCAAGCCACCCAAAGATCTAATGAAGAGATCCCATAGTGGGTTCTTTGACCTATGTCAAAATAGACAACTAATTAGGAGTTTGCTAAATTCGGATTTGTTGAGCCGACTACAGGTATTGCAGCCTAGCTGTAAACCACAACACACCATGCCAGCCGCCCTTTTAGGGGAAAATCTAGAAGAGGAAAAATGAAGATAGTACTCAGTCCTCAACACTTCTTTCAGTGATTGAACTATATTTTTAGAGTTCTGAAATACTTTATGTACCCAGTCATTGCAAGAACAGCAAGTTAAAAGGAGTGTGGCTAGACAAGATGTAGCACAGCTCCGTTCATTGCGTCTTTAGATTTGCTACAGGAGGAGTCGATTGGAAGATTATAGACAAGGAGAAAGATGGTCGTGTCGATAGTGATGATGATGATGTCCTGCTATCTGCATGCTTCTCACATGGCTCTGATGCTTGTATAATAAGATGTCTGGAAACAACTGTTCTTGTCTATACTGTCTTTATTGTGATACTTCAGCAATGACACAAACAATATCAATAATATTTTGAATAGCGCTGGGTTCTCTCTATGGCTAAATACTCGTAGGTTCGCGTTGTGTTCTTCATCTCTAGTTACTTTGGTTCTAGTGTCTGTAACTGCCACCTGGTTTATGGTGCTGTCTGGTATTAATGGCTTATTCGTCGACTCTAACATCTTGACAGTGTTCCTAATGTGTCTCTGTTAACCATGGATCCAGGTATTTTTTGTGTTGTCTCTATAGTTTGTTGTCTTGTTTCATGTCTGCTCTCTAGTGCATGTCTTCGAGGCTCAATATGACTGGCTCCTCTCCTTCTAGTGTTGAGTTGGCATCTCCACAACTGCGAGGCTCATTGAGACTAGTTGCTCATCCTCAGAGTCTCGACTGAAGGCATTCTTTGAGGATCCATATGACTGGTCCCTCCTCTCTTGAGTCTTGTGGACTGAAGAATTGCTCTGAGGGTCAATATTACTAGTCCCTCCACTTTCTATGTCTTTTTAGACTGAAAGCTGGTAAAGTGCTTTGTTACCCATATTTATACTTGGATGCTGGAATGCTAGTTATTTGTTTTCTTCTCGCTTTTTCCACTTCTAGAATATTCTAGTACGTCTCAACATGTTTACTATGTACTTTCTCACGTGGGATTTTGCTAATTATAACTCAATTGCATCAGATTTCATCATCCTATTCTACGCAAATATTGTAGTTAAATTGATAGCTGATGTCATAGAAGCTTCTAGAAAACAAGTACAAGTGCATTTGCTTTGATAGGGCACGACAACAATGACGTCAAATACTATTTACAAAATATTGTCGCTAAGACTTTTTGACTTTCTTCTCATCCAGTACTACGCAAAATTCTATCACCCGACAAACAAGTGATGACGTCAATAATAAGTTTTGGCGGGAAAAATGAAGGTTACCAAAACTTGTTGATCTTGGTACATCCCAAACCTAACTCCTAACAAACAAGCAATGACCCTTCTCTGTTACAAAGAGCATTATGCAGGAAGTCAGAAAAATCATAATAAATAATATAGAACTGGTGTCATCAGCCGCCAATCTTTTCCAGAAGTCAAAACCCTCATTAAGAGAATATCGGAAACAGACAAGAAAATTAACATAGGTTATAACCATGAAAATGATTTCCTCAATCACCTGGACAGACCAAGTCACAACTTTTTGCTTAACGCACTGGAAACTGCAGACTTAACAAGCACTAATATAAATTAGGTTTGAGCTGAACAACTTTCTGCCAGTGTCTTCATGCTGAACAAATGCAAAAACATGTCTTGCAAGACTGTCCTCTTTTGGGGGAGCTGCGAAGCAACATGTAGCCACACCCAGTAAACCTGACTAGTAAGCTTTGGGAAACCTAAGAACCTTGAGATGACATGCCAGTTTATGGGGATTAAAGACATAACCAGAGATCGCTGAAGAAGAAGATCATCTGCTACACACTGCAGGGTTTTCCTAGGAGAGGATCCAAACACCCGATTAAGGCAGACTCGGTTGTGGCCAATTTTTGTTGTCAAGAACTATTTATGTATCTCCAGCAATTTTTTTTTTTGCTTGAACTCTTTATCTGGATAAGAAGAATTTCTGATGAAAAAAAAAACTATTTCTTGAGTCCTTGGTGAGTTTTCCTTATCAGGTCTGCACTGTATATATACTCATTTATAATTCTGCATCCTTGAACAGGAAGTAACTTGCACTTATTTGGTTAAAATACACACACTCAGCTAAACTGCTGATGTTTCCCTGTCCAGGCAGCGTGAGAGATTTGTGTCCCCTGGCGCCAAACAATGTCAACACAATGGCTGCTGCTGCGCTTGCGGCCCATAATCTTGGCTTTGATAAAGTTCAAGGTTTGCTAGTTTCTGATCCTAGGTATGTTTTCATCTTTAAGAGGTATTCACAAATGTCAGTACTCAATGCAGTCATGACATAATTTTGGGAAATACAGCTATGTTGTTATCGAATCTGTATTAAATTAAGTTGGTATGTTGATACAGTGTAGATATATCAAAGACCAAAGTGTGGAGTTAAACATTAGTAAACTCAGTCACAGAGCTTTTAAATCAAGAATTGATATTTGAACAAGCTGCAAACCGTGTAGGCAAGATGGTTGTTCTCACAGACCATACAGAGTCAACCCTTACTACCTGCAGCAGGCTATTTATACACATTTAAAGGATGGAAGTTATAGTGGCTAGACACATGCCAACCAGAAGGTCTAGGGTTGAAGTCCAAGACAGATATGTTTTTATAACTGACTTTGGCTTTCATGTCGACTCAGCCTTAAATGGGTACCAGGTAATGTCCTGGAAAATAAAGGCGGCCGGCTTGATGTTGACCACATCACCCTTCAAGTGCTGATTGATCTATGCAAATATTGATGTAACACTGTCTGCCTGATGTGCCAGTGGTATGAGACGGGTCCTTATTTCCGTACATTTACATGTAAATGATGTTTCCAGATGTAAATATCAACTTTACTCCACGAGGTTTTTATCATTTGTGACTCAAGCATCTCCACTGAGAGCTCATTGTCCATGAAAGTGTTGTACAAAATGCTCTGTTATATTTGTGAACATTTTTTCTTTCCTCTGAACTTTCTAGTCATATTGAATGCTGTATTTAGCAAGTGGGAACAAGTCTACAAGGGACCTGAAATAGTTGAGGACCTATGCTTCATCTGGAGATAAAAGGGAGGCAGATGAAGAAAGGATCATGTGACAGATGTTGCCTTAAAATGTGCTTTGTTATTCATTCTTGTAGTTTGAGAGACTGGCATGTTGTAGAGGTGGAACTCTGGGGTCCTGGAGATATTGCAGCAGACAGGGCATTTCACTGTAGAACTGTAAAACGTAACCCTGCCACATTTGGCGCCGTCTCAGGGACTGCAACATATGCCTCTTTTCTCAGTAGTTTGCTCGGTAAGTGTTTCATTAGTTTTTTTATGCCCTTGTTTCCATTGCTTGATGGGGCAAATGAGCATATGGGTATGGGAAACAATCTACATTCTTGGGTCTGTCATGTCATAGGTAAACAATCTACATTCTTGGGTCATGACTTGAGTAAAAATCTTTATTCTTGGTCATGTTATGAGAAGGAGAAAACTTAGGGACAGTGGGAAAGTTGGAGAGAAAAAGAGGCAATTGTAGACCGAGAGAGAAGATACTGGACAGCTTGACATATTGTTGTCAAAGATTTTCTGTATCTGAATTGATTGAAAGTACATGAGCCAGAAGATTGTAGACAGACATGACTCCTGACGCCACAAGGCATAGACTGTAAGGAGAAGAAGTAGGAATAGCCTACTTCTGATTATCACAATGCATTTGACTATTTAAAATAATACTGTCATTGTAGCTTGTCTTTACTGAGATGGTTGTATCTTCTTCTTTACTTCCTCTTTTACCGCTTTGGGTGTCCAGGGAGATATAAGATCCTGCTTCAGGTGTCCAGGGAGATATATGATCCTGCTTCAGGTGTCCAGGGAGATATAAGATCCTGCTTCAGGTGTCCAGGGAGATATAAGATCCTGCTTCAGGTGTCCAGGGAGATATATGATCCCTGCTTCAGGTGTCCAGGGAGATATAAGATCCTGCTTCAGGTGTCCAGGGAGATATAAGATCCTGCTTCAGGTGTCCAGGGAGATATAAGATCCTGCTTCAGGTGTCCAGGGAGATATAAGATCCTGCTTCAGGTGTCCAGGGAGATATAAGATCCTGCTTCAGGTGTCCAGGGAGATATAAGATCCTGCTTCAGGTGTCAAAGGAGATATAAGATCCTGCTTCAGGTGTCCAGGGAGATATAAGATTCTGCTTCATGTGTCCAGGGAGATATAAGATCCTGCTTCAGGTGTCCAGGGAGATATAAGATCCTGCTTCAGGTGTCCAGGGAGATATAAGGTCCTGCTTCATGCTCTTCTGGATACTTTGACCATAGTCTTAAGCTTGGCAATGTAAAAGCTAATAGTTGTCTCATCTCCAAAAGGTCTCCCAGTGTGGGCTCCGGGGCAGTAAAAAGAATAGACCCATGGCCCCTTACAAGCATGTCGTAAAAGTTGACTAATTAGGGGTTTTTCATAGTCGGACAGCAAATTCCTGAGAGGCAAGGAACTAACAGCCTGCATACAAATATGCCAAATCTGTAAAATAGGTGTGCACACACAATCTTAAGTTCTGAACTAGACTAAAGTCCATAAGTGGACAAACATCCAGGACTTTCCATTGGAGTTTACAGGCGGTGAGCAAGAAGAAGATCTCAGGAAATGTCTAACTCCCACCCAGGTGTTATGGGATTATAGGGAAAGTAGAGAATAAGAAAACATAATGTGTTTGTATGGAGTAATTTGTCAGTTTACATTACTTTATTTCAATTTCTGCCATCCTCCAGATTGCTTTTTGGTCATCCATGTCTCCCTTTACCATCTGCCATCTGCTGCAAAACTGTCCTTGCCAGAGTGTCAGTATGTATTCTGTCAGCTCGGTACACCCAATTAACTAATAGACTATCTGTCTGCATCCCCACTGTGCATAATGTGACTTCAACATAGGGAAAAGAAGATATTTCCCCTAAAGATAAAATCGAGGAGAATAATCAATTATTACACTAAATGCATAATAAATCAATTTTAATGACACAATATTAGTTAAGATTTTCTAAACATTCATAGAACAATTTCTGTCTTAATAACAACCCATAAATATGTAAAGAAAGCAGTATTTGAAACAATAAAATAAATTACACAATTGTCTTAAATAAATAATTACACTGTATAAAATAACGAATATATATTCTGAGGGTTGAAAAGAATATTTTTGTGAAAATTGCAACCGCTACTCATGTTTAACATTTTGTCTTTCAGCTGCACATGGCAAGGGACCAGGAGTTCATCTATGTTAACAATGTTCTCAGAATATGCTATTTGTACAATTTTGTGTCTTCAGTACCGTAAATGGATAGTCCAAGAAAAACATAAACGCACAATTACACTATGTTAGTTTAGATGTATGAGAAATGCAATGGGACAAACAAGAAGTGACAAAGTCACCTAGTTTCTTCCCCTTTTTACACAAATGCCGTCTTGTTTATTTTGTTTTGTATTATAATCTTTATATTCATACTTTTTTCCTCATGATGTACTTCTTGGTTTCATGTTGACCTTGGTTTTTTTTATTAGCTCTGTTGTCCTGCTTGTTGAGTTTCCTGGTTGGTTTTTTTAATTAGCTCTGTTGTCTCGCTCGTTGAGTTTCCTAGTCACAGTTTGTGCTGTATTTGTATTCAGTATTCCGTTGATGAAGACTTTGGTCAAAATGTTCAGATGTGTTTGTGTGCATCCTTTCTATTCCCTCCATTGAGCTTTCTAGTCATATTTTGTGTTATATTTAGCATCTCTTAAGAAGCAAGAGGCAGACCAAGATAGACATGTATGGATGGAGTAAAAGAGACACTTCAGAAACCCTAATTTAGCATCAATGCAAGCTACACAACTAGCAAAAGACAGGAAACTACATAATTCCTCTCTGTGACACTTCACGGTGTAAGCAGTAGGACAAAAGAAGAAACAGTGTTCGTCATGTCCTTCAGACTTTCCTACATACACTGCTGGCTATTGTTAGTGCTGGTGATTTATGGAATCAGTTTTGGAGACTGTCTTTAGACGTGTGACACTGTTCATCTTTATTTGTGTGTGTGTTGTAGTTTTTTTTTTTTTTCAAAGTGTAATAAAAAATGAATAGAAAATGGGCAAATAATAAAAGTATTCTTCTGAATTCAAGTCATATTTGTTGGTCTATTTATGTCTGTGCATTGATCTGTTTTTTTCTTGTTATTTTTTTTTTTTTTTTAGTGTTAACTGGCTGTAAACTCTGGCAAAAAGTTCTGGTTATTCATCAGCTTCTGGACTTTGGTCTTGTTCCAGAAATTGAGCTTTGCTTGCATATCTGTTTTTACAGATCTGGCTTATCTGTATGCAGACTGTTGGTTCTTCGCCTCTCTAGCAGATACACTCTGTCTTTGAAGGAAACTTCCCTGATTCGTCGCCTTGTACAGCATGTTTGTTAATGATGCAATGGGTGCATTCTCCCCTTTCGCCAGCCTAAATATGGCCTACGAATCCACATGGTTTTCATAGCAGCCAGTCATCTTCTTCAGACCTGCCAACCTTTCAGCAGTCAATGTGAACAAATATGGCACCAGCCAGCTTTGTTTTATCAAAAACTGTATGGGAACTATACTCTTCATCTTCTTTAGCAATCTCTGGTCATGCGCATAATCCACTGTGGGTCATAAACTGGGATGTCTTTTCAAGGTCTCTTAGGTTTCCCTAAAGCTTAGTTGTCAGGTCTACTGGGTGTTGCCTTATGCTGCTCCGCAGCTCCGCAGCTCCGCCAAGAGAGGGCAGTCTTGCAGGACATGTTCTGGAGTCTGTTCAGCACGAAGATATTGGCAGAGAGCTGTTAGGCTCATACCTAATTTATATGAGTGTTTATTAAGTCTGCAGTGTCCAGTACGCAAGCAAAAAACTGTGACTGTATTGTTCTGTTCAAGTGTTTCAGAAAATCTTTTTTGTAGTTATACTAGTGTTGGTTTTCCAATCTGTTTCTGATTTTCTCTAAATGAGAGTTTTGACTTCTAGAAAAGATAGTGGCTGGTTTGTTACTGCCTTCCTTGGCTAAAGCATCAGCGCTTTTATTGCCTTTGATGCCAGTGAGATTGAATTCACTGCAAGTGAATTTCTGCCTTTTTTGACAACAAAGCAAGTTCCTTTGTTAGACTTTGTAGTGTGCTGTCGGTATGTTTAGACTCAAGGGCCTGTATAGCTGACAGTGAGTCAGTGAGAAAAACCATCCTGCCTGCGGTGATTTGCAGATTGTTCATATACTGTGCTGCCATCAATAGGGCTGAGAGCTCTGCCTTGTAGTTAGAGCGGAACTATACTGAATTTGAAACTAACTGCTGCTTCTGTTGCAGACTTCACCAAGCAGGTCAGAGTGTCAGCGAGGAAAACATTCTTAATTTTTGAAATCGGGATAGTCATTGAGTTAAATAAAGTGGCATAAAATTCGGAAGTGTATGAATAACCAGAAACTTTCTATGGAGTTTATAGCCGGCGAACATGAAGAAGAAGTAGAAAAGCAATGACAAATGACGTTTTTCCCAAGAATAGTCATGTCACCTCGAGGATCAGGACATGAGTAACGTATTGTAATATTATGCTCAACCTAACGTATGTTTATATTTAGTTTCACTGCTTTTTTTAATCTAAGACACTGGCTTCCCCCCCCCCCCCCCCCCAATACCACACACATCAACCCCTTTCCCCACTACAGTCTCAAAACTCACACGGTAGATTGCATATCATTATTCTTTGCTTCTGCTAAGACACCACCCCTCAAAATGGATTTATAAACAATGTACATATGCGCGTATGTGTGTGTATGTATATGTGTGTGCACACTAATGGTTGGAAAGGATATTTTGGGTACCACTTCTACTATAAAGGCTAACCAATTTCTTTTATGACTTCGCTGCTTGTTTCCAAAGGGCCTTGACCACATCTGCCTTGTCATGTATCCACTCACCGTCCAGTGGTGCAGATCCAGCCAGTCTGCCTGTTCATTCCCCACCACGCCGGCATAGCCTGGAGAAAAGATCCAAAGTATGCTCACTACCCGTGACCTTTCAAGTGAAGCTTGCCACTCTGCTCGAAGTAACCCTGTCTTCACCTTTCTCAGCATTCTTTCAGAATCTGTTACAATTAAGACATGTGTATGCATCTTGTTCTCTAGCCACTGGAAAGCTGCAGTCAAGCATAGTTTCATTGATGTCCCTGACATTTATTCGAGGCTTGGAACATCAGCTCTAACAATGCTGTTGTCTGAAGAACACCACAGGACGGTTATCTTTTCTGGGTTGAATACAGCACTTATCTCTGTATACCAGTCGATTGCCTTATCTACTGTTGCCTGTAGCTTGATGAGCAATTTGATTCTGAACCCTGGTACCCATTTCCTGGGTGAGGCTGGGTGAACCCTGGGAACTGTTCGGTTTCGAACACCGGCTATGGGCTGCAGCGACTCGCAGCTGGATTTGAAAGCAAGTCTCCTATCAACTGCACTAATGCGGCCCATTAGGTTTACTCAGTGGAATCAGGTAGCTATGCATCCACTCTTGTGTGACTGAAGCTGTCCTAATGCTCTGGTTGAAGCAAGCAGTTATCTCTAACAGGTCTACATCACTCATGTCTTTCATGTGGAAATATCTAACCCTGTCAGGCCCGGGTGTAGTGTCTGTCACCCTTTTCAGAAAATGTTTTACATCTTCCACCTGTATGATGTCTTCACAATGTTTGTTCCTTAAGGTCACTGCCAGATCTCCTCAATCTGTATCTCTGTTATCTCCATCATTGTGGTCTGTGAAATGAACCTCCTGAGGAAAGCCTACCCCTTCTCTTTGTTCGAGACAAAGTTAGAAATGATTTTATCAGGCAGACTGTAGGGACAAGACCATGCAGCTAATTCATTGAGAAACAGAAGATCAAAGGGTTGGTCATTTAGTGAGAATGCACTACACATGAACAGGTCTGAAGTGAAAGCAAGAGGCCGCACCCTAGAAGAATATGGATTGATGACATTAAAGAGCTTCTACATTGACACAATATGACTAGCCAATGCTGCTCATCAAGCAACGGATTGCAAACTGTTCCTCCCCACAACACTTAGCGGCAGACGTGGAACTTGATGATGATGATGAGTACTACTACTACCCCTCAGCTTGAAAGAGTGCACACAGTACTGGAGTTCCATTACAACCAAAATTTCAGTGTGGAGATGTCACCTCATGAAATGATACTAATTACTTTCTTCTTCTTCATCACGTTCACCTGTTGCAGACTCCGGTGGATACTTTTAGTTGTTCTCCAACTTCTAGACTTAAATTGTATTCCAGAACTTAAGATTTACGTGCAAATCCGTTTTACAGATCTGGTTTATTTGTATGCAGTCTGTTGGTTCCTCGTCTATCAGGCATATGCACTCCAACTTCGTAGGAAATATCCCTAATTAGTAGATTTTTACGACATGCCAGTTGGGGATGCAGTGGGTCTATATTTGTTTTCCGTCACTATGGGTCGGGACCCATGCGGGTTCCACATAAGAAAACTGTCAACAGTCATTTCTCAATTGTCATAATAGTTTTGTTTCGTCGTTGACCGTAAACAACTTTTTATGCTGCTGGTCTCGGGAAAACAAAATGGCAGCTTCTTTATGGTGGGATGATGCCGAAACGTCGAACAAATCAGATTCCCAACACAAAATCGAGGACTTGCTGGTGTTTGGATATGCTTGTAAATTATTTCGAGATGATAAGAAAGCCAGAGCTATCGATAACGGCAAGATGCTTATACCATGGATGGGGGACGAGAGACTCATGATTGACAGGTCTGTGGGCTGGCTGGTCCCGATATTTGAAGGTTTCGATATCGTGCTTTCATCGCGTTGAATTAAATTAAATACATTTCGCGTAATCATGAAACATGCTTTTTTTTTCTTTCAGAAGTCATGAAGCAGTTTGTCAATTATATAATATGACTGAACAAATCACTACGTGCTGCTAGGAGGTTCACATTAAAAAAAAAAAACGATTACATGCGACATGCATACATGAGAAAACTGCTGTCCAAAAAAAGTGTTTAAAGTGTCTGCTAATAAACTTTAGCTGGTGTCTGATCACTGTCTTCTGAACATGATTAATTCCCTGTTGATCATGCTATCATTGATAGATGGAACTCTTTCTACTAATGCGTGCCAGTGAATGTTGCCTGGTGTCTGATCATTTGTCTTTTGATTCTGATCAATTCCCAGAATCTTGCCACCATTGATAGAGTGAATGTTGCCTGGTTGTCTGATCACTGGCTTTGCTTGATTCCTAATCTGTGTTTTCAGTTGGTCAGGAAGCAACAGGAACCTGCATCCCAGTGTCATGAGATCACCTTTTCAAAAACTATCAGCAGAGTCATCATCATTGTCCTGTTGTGCCATTAAATGTCAAATAGTGCTTGCAACTATTTCTCCATTACTTACACTATCCTGTGCATTCCTTTCTATATCATGGATGGAATCCAGCCCAGTGCCCTTGGCCTCTCTGATCATGGTTCATTTTAGGGCTTCTTTTAGATGTCATCACATGCCAATTTATTTTTCCCATTTTAGTGATTCTTTGCTCATTTCTTCTCAGGATATGACCAATGAAGTGTAATCTTCAACCAAGTACTGTATGGCGTATTCTGATTCGTATTCTATTGTTGCTTGATTTATGTGTTGCAAGGAGCTGGTGACTGAGCAGTTAGTAATTCTTGGCCCTTTTTTGGAAGAACTAGGTTCAGATCCTCTGTAAGGTGATGATTTTTTCATGTCAGGGGCAAAGATGAATATCCTGCTGCACAGTGTGTGGCAACTGCAGCCTGAAATCCTCAGGCTTGAGACCCTACTTAACCTACTTCCCTTTTTCTTCACTTCCTCTTCTATTACTTCAGGTGTCAGGGGGGATACATGGTTTTGCTTCTCTGGCCACCTTGATCATGGCATCATGCTCTTGTAGAGTTTATCTGATATCTTTCGGTGTTGTTCTTGATCTATCTCATGCTCTACTGTGTTCTCTTTTGGTGTATGCCTTGTATGAACTGTCCTACACTGCCTTAAAGGGTGTTGTATGCAGGCAGTGAAGGAGATGTTTGTGTTGCTTATGTGTTTGTTTGCTACTAATGAAGACTTTACAGGAGTTTGGGATGTGTTAAGTTGCGCCACTTTGGTGTGTATTTAGTGAAGTTCTTTCAAAAGCAGATGGAAGGCATCCAGGTGACCAGACTAAGACCACCTAGCTTGACAAGGATGGGTATGCTTTGAAACATGCACTTGTAATTTGGTACATGTTTTGTTTTCTGTTCATATTTGATATTAGAATCACCATGTATTATATGTCATATATTTTCTATACTTTATTTATTTCATACGGTTAAACTTTTAGTTTGCTCAGTAACTATTTTTATAAACTGAGCTTATTACATTCTTCCCTGTCTCAGTCCAGGCTCCATTTGTGACGAGGGGGGAGATCAGGCCTACTGCTTTCTAACAAGCACGTTGTATAAGGCGACTGAAATGTGCTGAAATGGATGTGTTGGGCCACAAGGTCTACATATCACAACCATGCTGTAAACCATAAGACAATTCGCCAACCGCCCTTGCAAAAGTGAACACAGAAGAAGAAGGAAGTCCTTATAGTTCTTGTTTTATGGTGCTGGCCATGATATTGTCCTTACCTGTCAGTATTTTTTTGATAGAGACAACCTTCTCTGCTATGCCGTCACACTAACATTTTCTCGTTGTATGTGTTCCCGGGCACCATTTTGGGAGAACAATAGATCTGCTTCCCCCTGACAAGCATGGCATAAAAGACAACTAATTAGGTATCTTTCCTTGGAAGTCGAGTGCGTCTGCCTCAGAGGTGAGGTGTCGTTAGACTGCATAGAAGTAAGCCAGATCTGTAAAATGGATGTGAACATAAAAATCATCACTCAAAGTCCAGAAGGGGACAAACAACCAGGGGGTTTATAGCCGGTGAACTCGAAGAAGAGTAGTATTTGCTTTGTTGGTTTTCCCTGCCTCTCTTTCCTCACATCATTCATATTCTAAAAAACATACTCCACTGTCCTCCTAATGATGTGCCCAAAGAATAGGGATTTCTACCTTTGCTAGAGGTAAACAGTTCTGTTTGTGAATTTCTTTCTTTCAGGTCATTGTCATTGCTTATACTTTTATTTTATTTTTATTCTTCTGTATAACCATTCTGCAGTTTAAACAGACTATCACTATTTCACTGACTTTATGTGATTCAGAACCGAAAACCATGATTGACTCTATATAGTTCTTAAGAAAACTAGAAGTATGGAAAGTTGATCTTTTTAAAAGTGCAAATTAATCAGAAAATTAGTAAAGAGTAAACCAGCTAAATTCGGAGATAAACATCTGTGAAATATTAGTTCAGCAACGTCTCTATGTGGGTTCCTGGCCTGCATTTTGTTGGGAGGATCGACCCCCTGACAGATTTTTGCAGCCTAGCTGTAAACCACAACACAGCTTCCAACCACCCTTGTGAGGGTGATGTGTAAAAGTTTAGCAAGGTGTCACATTACCAAAGTGTAAAACTTGTAGTTTTTCCTTTACCAGCCATCTGAAATTATAGGAGTATGTAATCATCATCCTGTGCCTTGCTGTACCTATTTTCAACCAATCGACTTGTTATATTGTATACAGTCCTGTGGCTTGTATTCTAAGAAATAATGCGCATGTGTTGTGAAAAGATTAATCTTGTCCTTGAATGAATTTTGTCTGTGTCAGTGAGCTACAACCCTGTAACAGCATTGATGGCAAATGAAGAAGAATGAGTTGTGTTGAGTGATGGAGTGTTTGACAAGTTATGTTATCACAGTCGATGTCACTGCACATTGGGCATTCCCATGCAGGCTCAGTTCTCCGATGCAGCAGTTACTTTCACTGATTGTTCACATGAGGGGTTGTACACTATAGTGTTTGACAAGTGTTCTTCCTCATTGTGGCAGCCGTATCTTCATACAAAAATGCATGTAAGTGATCTAATGTAGACCCTAGAAAGTTCAGTTGATTCGGGACCAGAGCACTGTCAGTCTAATAATGGTCAGATACCAAGTCATATTGTTTAGCTTGGGTGGGGGTAACAAGTAGAAATGGTTGGACTTTCAAGAGTCTGCTGTTTGATTATGCAGAATGTTGCACGTACAGGAAGTAATTGTGTGTGTTTTTGTTGCTGCAGATATGATGGAAGAGGGCATCTCTACGACCTGGCCTCCCATGATTGCGACAATGTGGAGGATAAGAATCCGTCCTGACTGAAGAGGAAGCAGCTGTAGAGAAAGGCATGTGATGAGGAAAGATATCTAGAGCTGCATACAGACGTAAGGGAGGCCGAATTATATGAAGGTAAGTTAATATTTGTTTTTAAAGACGTGTCGGATGGGGCTTGAAGCCTGAGAATTTTTGGCTATGTGGCTAGCACAGTCACCACATGCAGTGCCGATTCAAATTCTTTTTTTGCCACGACCTTTCTGAGAATTCAAAGCTGGGTCTGCAGCGCAAGCGCCAATTGTTTGCGGATTTGGATTCTTTTTTTTTGCCCCCAACAGAAAGATATTTCCACGACCTTACTGAGTATTCAAAGCTGGGTCTGCAGAACGAGAGCCCATTGTTGTGCGTTGCAGATTTGGATTATTATTTTTCCCCAATAGAAAGAAATATTTGCGAATCTTACTGAGGATTCAAACACAGGTCTGCAGAACAAGCACCTATTGTTGTGCGATGCGGATTCGGATTCTTATTTTGCCCCTAGCAAAAAGAAATATCCATAACCTTACTGAGGATTCAAAGCCGGGTCTGCAGAACGAGCGCCCATTGCTGTGCGCTACAGATTCAGATTCTTATTTTGCCCCAACAGAAAAATATATCCACAATTACCTTGAGGATTCAAACACGGGTCTGCAGAACGAGCACTTATTGTTGTTCGATGCGGATTTGGATTCTTATTTTGCCCCCAACAGAAGGATATATCCATGACCTTGCTGAGGATTCAAAGCTGGGTCTGTAGAGCGAGCACCCATTGTTGCAACCCTTGGCAAGGCAAGCTAATCGCTTGTAGTCCATCTATAGCTGGTATAATCTTCTTATTAATCTTCACCGACTGTAAAACTCGGGCAGAAAGTTCTATTTGTTTGTCTGCTCCTGGACTTTAAATGTTTTGCAGAATGTATGTTTTGCCTGCACATCCATTTTTTTTGTTGTTGATTCCCGGACTCTCAGATAGATGTACTCTGACTTGAAGGAAATTCCCTAATTAGTCAAGTTTCTTGACATGCTATTCCCCCATGGAGTCCCAGAATTCGTACACGGGGCTGGTATAATAAAATAAATGGTGCTTTATTATCTTACCACACAGGGGAAACCCACAGGTCACGGGACAGTCTAATATTGCAGGGGCTGGTAGATAGGCTGCATGCAGTCGTGGGACCTAGGCTGCACTCTCTCGTGGGCCGTATGTAGGTTGGGGTTAGGGCCAGTTCTAGATATTTTGGGGTCGTTAAAAGCATCAGAAAGCCGGGAAACCCAGTCTTACCACCCTCTAAAATTTTGGACTGTCCTTCCTGTGACGTCATCTGGGGTAGGATATTAATAAAGCACCAATAAATGTACGGCCGTATCTGCAAGATGTTCTGTTACTGGTGTTGTTGGTTTAATTGTTTTTAATTGTTATTGCAGTAACAGTGTGTGTTTTCTAATTACAGAGGAAGAATGGAAACGTTACTACCTGTCCTTCAGTTCTCGTTATGCCTAGTTGTCACATATCACTCCTGTCGCGTGCCTAATGTAAGGATTCCTCCTTCAGAACCAACAGCACTCAGAGATAATTATGTTGAGTCGTTTGGCTCGTATTGGTCTAAGGGATTCCCCGTGGCCAATATACGATCAACTTATCTCTGGAGTAGGGCAACTCAAGTATTGGCACTACAAAATATATCAGTATATAAATACAATATTTCTAGGCACACTTGGCTGGACACCCCCACTACTTACTAAAGAAAGCCCCCAGGTTATGATAGTTCATTATCATAACCATGTTAACACATATAATGAAGATACATACATACACAACTGCTAAACACTTAAAAAGGTGAAATAGAGACACCTAAGTCAGCCATGAAAATGAATGCATGTAATCAATATAAAATAGATATATAAAAGTGAGACAATTGCCAGATCTCCTAGGCTAGATCTCAGGAAATCCTGTCCAAATCACAAAGATACTACACAGACAGAAGGTCTTGGAGATATCTTGTCATCATTGGACAACCTAGGAGCTGTGAGGAATAAAGCACATAAGGCATCAAACTGCACTTAGCCTCTTTCTGTCTATGATGCCTCCCTCAGCTCCTGATGATTCGACTGTCTTTGACTCTGGTAATTCTGCTCAACTGGATCAGGTAGTGAAAGAGTACTTCACCATAGAAGACACAGCAACTGTACCGGTATTTAGCAAGTCTCTATCACCAGTAAGGACACACAATGTCTTTGAGCCACACTAAGCTCTAGCACTGGTAGCTGTTTGAGGTGTTGGAGATGTCAGGAACCTTCACAGGTGTTAGCTGGTGGGTAACAGTTTGTTTCTGGTGGTTTGATGGTTGGTGGATGTTGGTTGGACTGTGAATCTTCTGCCAGCTCTTCAGAACAGATACATCCTGTCAAGAAAATAACTCAACATTAGTCATCACCAAGAGGGTAACATCTTGACAGGAAAGACAGAGCAAGCATCAGTCATCAACCCCCATCTGCTGACTCCTCCCTGCTCTCCTGTTTCATTCCTCAGATTGCCTCTCCAGACCAAAAGACATAAGTCTCCTATATTTATCTGTCTGTTTAGTGCAAGAGAAGGCAAGTCAGATATACAGTGGAGATAGATAAAGTGGTCTAACACATATATCACTCTCCCTCTCCCCCTCACTCTGCACACAGACACCAATATTTACTGTCAGTACCTGCATTCACTAGCTTTCCCAACCGCCCCAGCACTCATTGATCTGGGTCAAACACACACATACTTTAAATAACAAAGCCCTGACCCAATTCTGTCCCCATTTCGTATGTACAGATTCTTTAGTTAGTTTAAAACGTACACAATTGTAAGGGTATTAAGTTATTTAGTCTGTACAGTGGAAGATCTATGTTCGAATCCGCTTCTCTAGCGATCAAGAACGGTCGAACTAAGTGGGATCACACAGCCGATACTGATTTCTCTACAGCAGTGACTACTTTACAGACATCATTCTAGGTACTCGTAAACTATAATTAACTTACCCAAGCATATGTAAAAACTGAGACATTCCAGATTGCCTTGAAAAGTGAAATTTATACAGGCACAGATTAACACATCTGGACGCTTGAGAAGCTGGCAAGGAGAATAGCGTCACTTAGACACTTCAGGCGTTGGTAACAAAAGAAGTCCCTTGTATACTTGGGCAAAGAGTAAATCGGTTTCCAAGAAACCTCAAATAACTCCCTGAATATATATCGAAGAGATATACATTTAAAAGTGGAGTTTAGTTAAAGTAACCAGAAAAGGCAGACATAATAATGTTGTCCAATAAAGGCCTATATATATATAGATATACGGGACTATATATTTCCGGGCGAGTCCAAGTTTGAATTTTGTGCAGATTACAGGTAAGACAGGTTATCAGCCTTACAGACCGATGCGTAATGGCTATCATTTCACGACACTAGTGGCTCATGAGGCTTCAGAGAGGACTTTCCATGCTTTCCTGTCCTGTGCAATCTTCAGTGCAGTTTTCCATGTCAAAGATGCCGCACTCAGGTCACTTTCCATCGTTCGTCTCCATGTTGTTTTTGGGCGCCCATGTTTTCTCTTTCCCTCTGGTGTCCATGTGAGAGCTGTTTTGGCAGGTATATCAGAAGTCATTCTCATAACGTGGCCAAGCCATTTCCATCTTCTCTTGGTAATCATACTGTCTAAAGTTTCTTGGTTTGTGGCTTGAAGTAGTTTAGTGTTTGAGATTGTATCTGGCCAGAAAATTTTGATAATTCTATGTAGACATGTGTGGTGGAAATCTATTCTACTATAAATTTAGTGGCAATGTCTTATTCTCTTAAAAGGTTAACATTGTAACGTGCTGTCTGTGTCTTAACTTGCGTGTACAATTTTTTGAGTTTGTCGTAGTAGAGCGATTACAAGGTGATGATCGCTTCCCACATCTGCTCCCCTTTTGACACGCACATCGAGTAGGAACCACACCATTTTCTGTTTACCATGAAATGGTCGATCTGGGGTAGAATATTAATAAAGCACCAATAAATGCACGGCAGTATCTGCAAGATGTTCTGTTACTGGTGTTGTTGGTTTTGTTTTTTCATTTGTTATTGCAGTAACAGTGTGTGTTTTCTAATTACAGAGGAAGAATGGAAACGTTACTACCTGTCCTTGCAGGAGGGATACCAGTCTGTTGGCTTCAGCTACGACCAGCAGGCGGGAGGTTATGATGGTCAGATACAACCTGATGCATCAGGTACAAGCATTATCTGTCACTATTCTTTCTTGCCTTGTTACATTGTATTGTCTGAGTGTTTACTCTTTTGGTTCCGTTTTGACTCGAACCCATCACATCTGGATCTGCAGGTGAGTCTCTAGCCACCACACCACAATGGCTATAATTTTCTACGTTATGAGGCATTGCGCCTCATGCCAACTTTCTTTAGTCACTGCTACATTTAGGTTGCATTGTTAATATTATTAGTTCCCTTCTTATTTTCACTTCCTCTTGTAACACTTTGGTTGTTGAGGGAGCTGCAAGGTTGATTGATGGATTGATATTTTGCCCCACTAGGATATCACACCGAGCCGTAAACACCAGGTGACATAATGTGCCACCATGCGGATGAGGATCACCCGTTGAGAGGTCCCAGAAATCCTGTTTAACCTATAGTTTGGGTTATATTAAGGCCCCTGGCAAGAGCCAGAGTAAAGTAAAGATCCTTTTTCACGCCTTTAGGCGCATCGGGCATATGGGAAGAGCACCCATATTTTTGCAGACAAATCGGCACTAGTTAGGTAATGTGGTCAGCATTACACCGGCCGCCTTTACTTCCTCAGGACATACATCCTGGTACCAATTTTAGGCTGGGTCGACCCACGACGCCCCGTACCACGATAAAAATCCACGCAGCCAGCAGTGGGTTTTGATGACGGTATGTTGGAATTGCGAGTCGGACTCGCCGCAAGAGCCAGCGCGGGGCTTCAAAATAACGTTCCATATTGAAATGAGTATAACTAGCTAAAAGGTTGTGGTTCTTGCTCTTCTGGTCGCCTCAAACATAGAAACATTATACTGTTGTTGACTTTCTCTGATGTTATCTTTCTATATGTTTCATGCTGTGCTTGGACTGTACGTCCTATTCTTTTGGTATATGTCTTGTATGGTGTGGCCTTACAAAGCATTTCTAAGTGGGCAAACCATTTTATTTGCTGTCTTTGCCCTAGTATAGTATTTATTTTTATGCCGACTGTTTCTTTTATGATTTCCCTTGCTTCCCATGGGGGCTGCCATGGTGTAGCAGATAGGTGCTCACCTGCCGATACAAAAGTTGGGGGTTCAAATCCGAATGGAGCTGGTATTTGGTGCCGATTGGTCTATATGCCCCATACACCTGAAGGTGTGGAAAAGGGTCCTTTACCTGCTTCTCACACTGGTTTAGTTAACTCACATTATTTCTGACCAGTTGAGTTAATTGGTTTGTTTCATGTGTTAATTCATTTGACACATTTGAATTTATTAACATTGTCTCTTGTGTAAATATCTGACAGTTTGAGTTTTGTGTGTAAATATTTGACCAGTTGAATTTACTATTATTATTTCAAATGTAAGTGTGTTAGAATTTGAGAGTAGTAATATAATGTCATCTTAAAATGTGTGACAGTTTGAGTTTACAAATAAATTTCATATGTAAATAAGTAATTAACTGCGTCAGTTTACTTGAAACAGGATATCTAAATCCATAGCTTATCTCTTAACCGTTAAAATGAAACCTGATTCATATTGCAGGACTTGAAAAAGAAGCAGATGAGAAACCTTTTGTTGTACCTGAAGAACTGCACGTTCCGCCAGACCTGTTGAAGGTAAGCTTATTCTTTTTCTTCTTCTTTTTCTTTTTCTGTGTTTGTCCGAAGATGTAAATGTATTGTGCCCATTTGGTACACGGCTGCAATATTTGCGCCTTTTGGCTAACACATCTGAATTCTGCAGACATTGTTGCCTGGTTAGCCTTCTGGGAAAGGTGCAGTTTAATGTAGACAGCACAGCTCTTCTATCTACCTTAGGCCCTTGGGAAGCCTACTTTGTTAGATGCCCCACAGGAAGTGGCTGCCACATCCTGGTTGATAGTCCTGAATTCCTTTAGTTCTTATCTTCTTACTTTCTCTGGGCTTTATGTTGGTGTTCCAATACTTCTTTTGAGTTTAATGACCCCTATTTCAACCAGATTAGCGACGTCACTATGGGCACCAAGATGAGACCTAGCTATACTTGCCTCTTCATGGGCTACCTTGAGCATCAGATGTGTCATACATATACCGGTAGGCTCCCCAAGCTCTACAGGAGGTATATCGATGATTGCATCAGTGTCACCCATATGCTTCTGCCTGAACTGCTGGGCTTCATTCATTTTGTCTCCAACTTCATCCAGACCTCCAATTCACTTCCTGCATTTTACCATCATCTGTGAGTTTTCATACATTAAATACCTCAGCACACCGTAGGCTTTTTTCATGCTTACGGAATCCTTATCTCTCCTTCATCCTTTCTTCCACCCCTTTCCTGCCAGGACTCTACAGGCACCACTCTCCATCCCTAGGGCTGACCCTGCCACGAGCACAATTTTCTCTGAGCTTCCTCTAGAGGCCTACAGACATGAGCATGACTTCAAGGACAATCTAGTCAAGAGTTGGTTATGTCCTGCGTCTGAATCCCACTTTGGCACGGTCTTTTGTCACAAACCTGTATGCACGACTTGTCCATTTGTGATTCAGTGGACACGTCTGAAATTTCTGAATACCACCTTCCACAAATGTGAAGTATTCTATTGCACGAGCTGCAGTGTCATTTATGCCATCAACTGCAAGAGATATGACATAAAATACATAGTTGAAACGAGTCTGCGACTGGCTGACAGGTTCAGACAACAGTACTGTTGCACTTCAGTTCCCAGCATCACCAAGTTGTCCACGACATGGAGGTGACAGCTATTAAATCCAGCCACTCCAGTGACAGAGTCTGCAAGTCTCTTGAATATTGTTTTGTTTTCACCTTGGGTACGTTAACACCCAGGGGACTGAACTGTAAACCTAGTTTCATCTAAAATTCTCAAGTACTGCCCCTGGCATTCTATAGGTATTTATTCTCGGCCCCACATGTTTCTTCATTCCAACTGGCAAGACATCGATGTGGTTGCTTGGGGATACGTCAGTTAAATGATTTCAAATATTCTTGTTTTGTTTTGATTTATGTATGTGCTGATGAAGGCTGTATAGCTGCAACATTCACGTTTTGTTTGTGTTTGTTATATTGTCAAGCTCGTTGATCTACTTTTTGTTCAGTTTTATATCCTTCCATTAAGATATGAACAATAATATTTTGAGATTTATAAATTCGCAAATGTAAAATTAACTTGTTTGTGTATGATTCAGCCAACCTGTGCAAAACAGAATGCACGCATCGAGAAGACAGCCAGTTTTATTGCTCAGCACGGAATTCAGATGGAAATAATGCTGAAGACAAAGCAGTCTGGCAACTCACAGTTTGACTTTCTCCACTTTGACAACGAACTGAATCCATACTACAAGCACGTGGTTAGCATGATCAAGTCTGGTAAATACAAGCCTCAGGAGGAGGAGGAGGAGAGCCTGAAGCAAGGTAGGTTTGTCTGCTTGTATGTCTTGTATTTGTGGAGGAGGAGAGCATAGAGGGTTTGGTTTGTCTGCTTGTGTCTTGTATTTGTGGAGGAGGAGAGCACAGAGGGTTTGTCTGCTTATATGTCTTGTATTTGTGAAGGAGGAGAGCAGGGAGGGTTTGGTTTGTCTGCTTGTATGTCTTGTATTTGTGAAGGAGGAGAGCAGGGAGGGTTTGGTTTGTCTGCTTGTGTCTTGTATTTGTGGAGGAGGAGAGCATAGAGGGTTTGGTTTGTCTGCTTGATTGTCTTGTATTTGTGGAGGAGGAGAGCAGGGAGGGTTTGTCTGCTTGTTTGTCTTGTATATGTGGAGGAGGAGAGCCTGAAGCAAGGTGGTTCTTTTTTTTCTACTTCTGTGCCTTGTATTTATGAAGGAGGAGAGCATAAAGCAAAGTGGGTTTGTCTGCTTGTGTTTGTGAAGGAGGAGAGTTTGGAGCAAGGTGGGTTTGTCTACTTGTGTGTCTTGTGTTTGTGAAGGAGGAGAGTTTAGAGCAAGGGTTTGTCTACTTGTGTGTCTTGTATTTGTGAAGGAGGAGAGTTTAGAGCAAGGGTTTGTCTGCTTGTGTTTGTGAAGGAGGAGGGTTTGGAGAAAGGTGGGTTTGTCTACTTGTGTTTGTGAAGGAGGAGAGTTTGAACCCTAAGAACGGTGAATTTGGTTGCTTATACTGTCTTATGTCTGTTGAGAAAGATTTGATTACAGGTAGGCTTTTTTGCTACTACCATATGCCACACAAATGTTACTTGAACATATCAGATGTCAGTTTGTGACTAACTAGAAATTTTTCTGTTCTCTTTCAGAAGAGGATCACCATCCACATTATCTGCACCCATCATTGTCTTCCACATCACTTCAGCTGCCACCTCCACCACCACCCGTAAGCTTCAACAGTTTCCTTATTTGGTTATCGCAGTTGTGGTTCATCCTGCATACATCTCAGAACAATAAACTATCCTTCTTATCTGTTTTGAAGATTTTATCGATTTTCCTACCCATTTGATTGGACACTATTTATCTCATCTCTTTTTTTGAGATGTTATTTTATCTGCCTCATCTAGTTTTGAGATGTTGTATACTTCTGCACAATTGTTACAGATTTTTAGTTCGTCTTACAACGAATCTTTGGTCCATCAAAGATGCAAACAGCAGGGACTGGAGAGTGAGAAGCAGCAACAGAATTCATAATCTGTTCATATCAACATTGATCATTGGCATTATGAAAGCTGATAGACTGAAATGGTTTAGGCATATTGAGAGAATGGCAGATGACAGAGAGCTAAAAATTATATACACAATGGATCTGAATGGTTGTAGACCACAAGGCAGACCAAGAAAACGATGGAGAGATAATGTCCAAACAGACCTGCAAACACTTAGGTCACCAGCTGGAAATAAAAGGCCAGACAGAGAGATGAGTAGAGGCGGGTGATATCTGCAGCAATGTACATCATGGCTCGGAATGCTGAAGAAGATCTGTCTCTTGTCTATTTTTGCGATACTGTTTGTCTCAAATGTTTTTTGAGATATCTGCCTCTTCTAGTTTTGAGATGTTATCTATCTGTTAACTATTTTTTTTAAAGATATTATACGTCTCTCATCCCTGTGTGGTATCAGGGCCCCATTTTGGAGGAAAAATAAATTGACCTCCTATCGTCCAATAAGCATGTTGTTAAAGGCAACTAATTAGGAGTTTCCTGAAGTCAGATGTGTTGGGCTGATAGGCATAGATATCACAGCCTAGCTGTAAAACTATGACATAGTGTGTCTCCCACTCTTTTTAAGCGTTGTCACAAAAGGGAAAAAAGATCTGCTAGTCTTATCTATTTTTAAGATATCTATCATGGTTAGGAGTTTATTGAAATCAGATTTGTTTGGCAGAAAGGCATAGATATCACAGCCTAGCTGTAAACCATACACAGTGTACCACCTAAGGGTCATCGCAGAAGGGAATAAATATTTGTTTGTATTATCTAATTTTTAATATATCTGTTTTGAGAAAAATCTGTCATTGCCTTTTATGGGGAAAGGGTATATCTATCTTAGTTGCTGTGCTTCTAGCATATGACAATTTTTGTGTGATATATTTTGAATTACATTTCTGGTGACATATATTTTTGGAGGAATTTAACTGTTTATTTTGTATATCATATTGTAATTGTTACCCAATCATTGTTACTAAATCTTACAGATATTCTTGTAATGGTAACAACGTTTTAAAAATATCTTTCAGATGTTGAAACCGATTGAGTTGCCGAAGGTATCCATCAACGACACACCATATGGAGCACTTATACAGTCCATTCGTAGGAACACAGAAGCGTAAGATGTTTTTATCTGCTCATTACAAATTCACTTGTTTAACTCTTTCACCTTGGAGTGCTGATATTTCGGCAGTGCCATCAGTTACAAACCACTGTAAGCTTTGCTAAGTCCCTTATAGGCCAGTATAATGGTATTGGTACTGTTTGCAACTGTGCAGTGTTTAGATAATGTTTAGATAAGCATTTATGATTATATTTACCTAAGAGTATCACATGGGTGGTGGGGGTTAATGGTTAAAAATGCTTTTTATGCAGACATTATGATGTAATAATTTGCCTCTGACAATCATTTTGCTTTTCATTGCAGTCAAGAAACATAAATAAAATGTGTTTGCCAAAGGGAATGTATGCACTTTATTCTCTGCTTCATTTGTGCTACATGTATTACTACACCAGGTTTACAATATTAGGTGTGACTTGGGAAAAGATCTAATGTTATAAAATATTTTTGAAGGAATCCTGAATTATAGGAGTCCCCCCCCCCCTCTCTCTCTCTCTCTCTCTCTCTCTGAATTCAGGATAGAAAGGATTAAACAAGCTTATATTTTTTCTATTGCTATTACATGGGAATGTCAAAGCAAGTTTTTTTAAAAAATAAATGACCTTGACTCTTAGGTCAACCCAACCTTAAATTGGTATCAGGTAAAGTCCTGGGAAGTAAAGGCAGCCGGCGTGATGTTGACCACGTCACCCACTAAGTGCTGATTGGTCTGTAAAATATATACATCTAGTCATATATGCTCAGTACGCATGAAGGTGGCATTGGTAGTCATGTTATCCACAACCTTCTGTCTTGTGTACTTTCAATCAAATCTGACACAGATGATTCTCCATGCTGTGTGGCATTGGTAGTCATGTCTGTCCACAGCCCTTCTGTCTTGTGTACTTTCAGTCAACTGACACAGCTTATTCTCCATGCTGTGTGGCATTGGTAGTCATATCTGTCCACAGCCTTCTGTCTTGTGTACTTTCAGTCAACTGACACAGATGATCCCCTATGCTGTGTGGCATTGGTAGTCATGTCTGTCCACAGCCTTCTGTCTTGTGTACTTTCAGTCAACTGTGACACAGAGGATCCTCCATGCTGTGTGGCATTGGTAGTCATGTCTGGACACAGATGATCCTCCATGCTGTGTGGCATTGGTAGTCATGTCTGTACACAGCCTTCTGTCTTGTGTATTTTCAATCAGCTCTGACACAGATGATCCTCCATGCCATCACGTCAGACTTTCAAGCATCTTTTCTCTCTGACTCCCTCTGCCTCTACTCCCCTCCAACTTTCCTACTGTCACAATGTACTCTAGTTTTCTCCTTTCTATTCCATGACCAAATAATATAGATTGTCTCTTTCTGATGCTGGAAATCAGTTCTCTTTGTGAGATAATTTCTTTCAAGACATCTTTATTAATCTTACCTGTCCAGGTTATTCTCATCATTCGTCTATAAAACCACATCTCCGCAGCTCTCAAATAAGTTTTCAATAATTTACCAACTGTCCATTTTGTTATTGTCAGAAATATCAGGCTCCCTGAGATGTTCGGTCTTTTTCATCAAGTGTTTTTGTTACCACGGATACTTTTTTTCCTGCATTATCCCCCAATGGAGCATAGGCCTCAACCAACAGGTCATCATCCTATTTTTGGCTGTCACAACAGCTCACCCGATTTTCTCCCCATATTTTTTAGTCTGCCTTTGTTCTCTTGGGAAACCTCCATGGTGTAGTGCCTAAATGCTCGTCTGCAGATCTGAAGGTCATGGGTCAAGTCCGAAGGAACCAGACTTTCTTTAAAGAAAATGACCTTGGCTTCCAGGTTGACCCAGCCTTGAGCTGGTACCAGTTAAAGTCCTGGGAAGTAAAGGCAGCCGATGTGATGTTAACCACATCACCCACCAAGCGCCGGTTGATCTGAAAAATAAAGGTCTAGCACTATATGCCCAATACGCTTAAAGTTGTGGAAACGGGTCCTTTACTTTATTTCCTTAACCCTGTTGGTTTTAGTGCAAAGACATTCTAGTCATATTGATGTGAGGTTTTCTCAGTGTGTTATCATTAGACATCCTACATCATTATTTATTTATTTATTTCATTGTTACATTTCCTCTTTCCTTGTCCTGCTCTTTCTTGTTGCTTTTTGTTGTTTTTATTATTTTTTTTCCTAAATGTTGACCTTGACATTAGTTTTATTAGTCTTTTTTTTTCTGTTGTTAATAAAGACTAGTCAAAGTGTGTAGTATTAATGCTCGTCTTTTTATTTCGCACCGTTGAATTTAATAATTTTAGCGTTCTTTGTGTTACTTCTTGATATCAACTTGATTTTAGACGCTTTATTTTACCCAGCTGTGTAGTTTTGACCTAATTTTTAATTTCGACACACTTGATACCTCACTTAGGTCAAGAATCTCAGCCTTGGAAGCAGCAGCTGCTGCTGCCGCCCAGTTCCCCCAAGATGACCAGCAGACCCCTGCAGTTGTCTCACACTCAGTTAACCCTCCGCCACCTGGGACAGAGCCTGTCACATTACCGACCAGCGCACTCAATGGACAGGCATTTGTTGAGCAGTTGTACAGTCAGCCGCCTCCTCCTGGGACTGAGGGTGATGATAGTTCTTACTACACAGCCTCGGAGCGGAAGAGGAGAAAACGTTCCTCTAGTTCAGAAAGTTCTTCATCATCATCTTCTAGTTCATCTCGTAGCTCAGGGTCATCTGGGAAGAAAAGGTGAGTTGAAGGAAGGTTCAGTTAATGAAGTTTCCCTCCCCACAGCATGTATACCTTAAATAGTGACTAATTAGGGCTGTTTCCTTTAAAGTTTGAAAACATATGCCTGACATGTAAGGAACGACAGTCTGCATTTATAATAAGCTACATCAGTAAAACAAAAGTGCATACAAAGACTAAAGTTTTGTAACAAGACCAAACTCCAGAAGTGGACAACCAGACATTTCTGCCAGAATTTACAACCAATGGATGCTAAGAAGTAGCAGAAGAATCCAGTTTAGCACCATTGGCTTCTCTTATTTCTGTTGGCTGTGGGGTTTCTGTTGGACATCCTCGTTTCCTTAGTCCATTTGTTTCACCAACTGAATTTGCATCCCCTCCTTAGGGGAACTTTTATAATGGATAAGAAATTCCAGGTCCATCCAGCCAAAAGAGGGGGAGGGGGGGGGGGGGGGGGGGGCTGGAAATTCCCTGGGAAACAAAGATAGTTGGTGTTATGTTAACCACTAGTGCTGATGGGCCTATAGAAAAGTGGGTCGAGGGCTTTATTTCTAGAAACAAAGGTTCCGATACTCACCACATCATCATCCTTTGTGTGCCAGTAGAGGTCGCCTAGGGTTCACATTTGATTCCTCCACTCCGCTCTATTGCATGCAACTTACTTTATTTCTGCCATGGAGCTCAGCCCAACATTTGTAGCCTCTTGTAATAATGTTCCTATAATGTTCCCTTTGAATGTCCTCTTTTTCTCAGACCTTTTGTTACCCATTTTGCTTGTTTTGTAATTCTTTGCTCATTTCATCTCAGACCATGCCTAGTATATCTATACCTTCTTTGTCTTATTGCAGTCAATACAGGTGTTTGTCCAGACATTTCTCTGATCACCTTACTCTTTTTGAATTCATCCCAATTTATGATCAGGATTTTTTCTCAGACATTTAGTTTCAAATGTATTTAAGTTTTGTTCCATATCTTTGGTGGTTCTCTAACTTTGGCTGGCATATGTTACCATTGAAATAACATTACCATTGAAATAAGGTTAGATCTGAAATAACATTACCATTGAAATAAGGTTAGATCTGAAATAACATTACCATTGAAATAAGGTTAGATCTGAAATAACATTACCATTGAAATAAGGTTAGATCTGAAATAACATTACCATTGAAATAAGGTTAGATCTGAAATAACTTTACCATTGAAATAAGGTTAGATCTGAAATAACATTACCATTGAAATAAGGTTAGATCTGAAATAACATTACCATTGAAATAAGGTTAGATTTGAAATAAGATTAGATTTGAAATAAGGTTAGAACTGAAATAACATTACTATTGAAATAAGGTTAGATTTGAAATAACATTACCATTGAAATAAGGTTAGATTTGAAATAACATTACCATTGAAATAAGGTTAGAATTGAAATAACATTAGAATTAAAATAATGTTGGAATTGAAGTGTCTTAAACAAAAGGTGCTGATTGATATGCACTGTAAAGTGTCTTTTATGTCAGCTCTGAACACAAAAATTGAGTGATATGTTGTTATTGTTTCCCGTAGATTACCTCAGAAAACGAAAGATGATCCACCACCCAGAGTTGAAGGTCCCAGTCCGATTCAACTGCCTCCACCAGATGTGCAACCAATCATTGACCGCATGGCCATGTACGTCGCCAAAAATGGAGTGGAGTTTGAAATGGTTGTCATGAACCGAAAGGATCCCCGTTTCCAGTTCTTGAACGAATACCATGTTTACTTCCCCTTTTACAGACAGATGAAGGATAAGTATCTTCAGGTATGTAAACAAGTTGTCCTGTGTTACAGGGGCCCCTAATAGTTTTCTAAACTTTGTCCTTTAAGCCTTTCACCCGGGAATCGCAGGGGGAAAAAATGTGGTCATCAACCCAATGAATTTCTCCGAAATAAAAACTTTAAAAAAAATAACACGTTACTAATAAATTTAAAAACAATGTATTATGCAGATAATTTTTTAAATCTTCATTTCTACTACTCTCTTGTTCCTACTATTATATATTATTACTATTACTTTTATGACTATTACTTTTATGAGGGGAGGGGGGGGGGGGGGGGGGGGGGGGGGGGGGGGGGGGGGGGGGGGGGGGGGGGGGGGGGGGGGGGGGGGGGGGGGGGGGGGGGGGGGGGGGGGGGGGCGGGGGGGCTTTCCTTTATTGTATTTTTTCATACAGCATCACCTTCTTTTTTTTTAAAGTTTCCTGTGTGATCTAGCCTCCTCCCCTCCCTCAGCCCTGGTGGTTGGAATACTCGCCCCTTTGTTATTGATGTGTATTTAGTCTGTGTTGACAGAGTCCCCAGCCGGAATATCAGTTTGTGTGTTTTGTGCATGCTGTTCTGCTTCCCCATTTTTTTAAGCTTTTTAGTCACAGTTCACTGGATTTTTTGGTATTAGCTTGATTGCAGTCACCCCCTATTTTCACCAACTTTAAAAATAGACATATATAATGGGAGTAAGTAATCAGTAAACAGGAACCGAGTTAATACATTCCTCAGGTGGTTAAAAAATGTATAACTCGTGCAGTAACCCCCAGACTGATCTCATTGAGGCAGCGGGGGAAATTTGACGTCATGTCGCTTTGAAAATGTCATTTGGTTCACCAGAAAACCCACATTAATGCTGTTTTTAGTACATACATTCATATCCTTACTTCCTAAATGCTATGCAGGTGCGAATACGACCATTAGCATTATATATGTATCTTGTAAACATGTCACTTTAGAAATGTCGGTTAGGTGATATGTACATGGGATTTTTATCCATGCAGAAGTGTCAGTTTTGCTGTTTATTTGCTGCATGGTTAAAACTAGATATCAGTGTACGTGCATAACATCTAATTAATAAATGTTGATATGTTTCAACTACCAGTTGGATCGTATACTTATACATATTACTTACATATGTGGTAAATAGTTGATGTATATTAACAGGAGCTTATATATATCACCTACCAGTGGGATCATACACTTATGACTGTAGTACTTACATATGTGATAATTAGTTGATGTATATTAACAGGAGTTCGACAGGCTACGTGCAGAGGCAGAAAAAGAAGCTAACGAGGACAAGCTGGGAAACAACAGTCAGAGAAGTGTTAGCTTTTCCATCAAAGCCCGACAGAGGGACCAGGAGGGTGGGCAGCCATCGGGCAAGGCCAGACTGTTTGAGTATGATAGTGAAGGTAAGAAGTTGCATGTGGGTGAAGGTTAACTTTTGTGTGAGTGAATATTAGGTATCACATGTGTGGCGCATCGATTTTGAATATTAGATGTCACATGTGTGGCACATCAACTGTGAATATTAGATGTCATATGTGTGGTTCATTGACTTTGAATCTTAGATGTCACATGTGTGGTGCATCGAATTTGAATATTAGATGTCATATGTGTGTCTCATTGACTTTGAATATTAGATGTCACATGTGTAGCTCATTGACTTTGAATATTAGATGTCATATGTGTGGTTCATCGTCTTTGAATCTTAGATGTCACAATTTTTGATACCATATAGGAAATCTTTACTTACTTGGACAAATGATGAGCCTTGTCTTAATGGATCAGATGATACTCAATAGTTGATGTGGAGAGAATCCTCCTAGTGGTCTTACTCGCGCTGATCACTGAAACTTCATCTCAAGAAGAATTGGAACATGAATACTGGGTCAATGAAATGTCTGAGAAGGCTGCCAGAGTGACCAGAAGAAATATAATCAAGAAGGAAGTCATAATAGGGAAAACCGGTTTTAAAAAAAAAAGAATACTATATTACATACAACATTTAAAAAAAAAAATGTAGATATACAGGTTAAAAAGTTTTGGGCAAGATTGAAGTCCAGAAGTAGATGACTAACCAGAACTTTCAGCTGGAGTTTACAGCCTGCCAGTGTGAAGAAGAAGAAGACTTAAAAGACAGCAGATAAAATGGTTTACCACATAGAGAGAATACCTTGTAATGCCATACCATACAAGGCATACACCAAACGAGGAGCGTGGGGCAGTGCACAACGTAGACCAAGATGGAAAGATAGCAGAGAAACTATACACAGAATGATGTGTCTGGTCAGAAGAGCAAGAAGCTGACCCTCATATCTCCCTCGACACATGAAGCCGTAAAAGAGGAAGCATAGAATGAAAAGGCAAAGATCTCCAGCTTGGCATGCAGCCATGCTAGCAGTTACTCTACCACAGCTACACATACCAGTCACACACACACACATATATATTATGTATAATCCTTTTAGGAGAGGAACGGCAGGAAGGGGAAACCACTGCAGAAGTGACATCAGGGACAGCAACTCCACCAGTGAAGACACAGATTGAGGAAGATCCACAGAAAGAAAGTAAGACATAATACATTGTGATTCACACATACTACTCAAAGGTTTAATGTTTAGTTAAGAAAATTAACTTCTTCCCTGATCTTAAGTATAGTGAAAATATTTTCTGCCTGAATCTACAGTTCACAAGATAAACCAAATTCTTCTTCTTAAAGTCCATGCCATGTGGCCTTGATAGTCATGTCATTATCCACAACCTTCTGTCTCTTGTACTTTCAATCAACTCTGACACAGATGATCCTCCATGCCATGATGTCACGCTGTCCAGCATCTGTTCTCTTGGTCTCCCCTCTGCCTCGCCTCCCCTCCAGCTTTCCTACTGTCACGATGCACTCCAGTTTTCTCCTCATCACATGTGCAAAAAATGTAGATTGTCTCTTTCTGGTGTGTGCAATCATTTCTCTTCGTGAGCCAGTTTTTTTCAAGACATCTTTGCTCTTTTTATCTGTGCAGGGTATTCCACATTGGGCGCAGTCAAAAATCATTCCAACAAAATCCACAACTCAGTGTCGCACTGTGCACTCAACTAAGTAGTTTCGTCCCAGAATTTGAAAGCCCTACGAATAGATGTCATTTGATGATAGCAGGAAATTGGTTGGCTACGAAAATACACAGAAGTAACTTACTAGATCAGGCAAACAAACAAACACAATCCTGCAAAAAGTAAATAATTTCCTGTCAGGGTACTATCCACACCCTAGGGTAGAACAGGACATTCAGGATTATCTCTACATCCCAGCGTATCACTGACTGAGGGTGGGGGAGGAGGGGGCTCGATGTTTTTAGTCGCGGCATGGTTTTGCTTGTGACATTAGTTAGCTGTTGCATTTTCCTCCACATTTGGACTTGAAGGTTATAGTTCCGTCACCCAGCTACTCAGTTGAGTGCATGGTGTGACACTGTGGGTTGTGAGTTAAGGTTGGAATGCTTTTCAACTGTGTCCAATGTGTTGTGTTGGAAACTGCATTCAGAAAATGGTGAAATGGTAGTGCATTATGTGATTAATTGCCTGTGCAACTGCTTGTTTGTCGTAACCACTGCTTCCATTTATTGTGAACTGCTTTTCTAGTGCTGGACTCTTTGTGTTGGCACTTCTGACAGCTGCACTTAGTGTGTGTTTCACTGGCTTTGCTGAGACTGCAGTTAAATGAGTTTGATGGTTGAATAACAGAAAGTCAATAGAACATGCTAAAAAACACACTAAATATTGCTCCTCAGAGGTAGTGCTGGGTGGCATTGGTGATTTGAGAGGTGGCACTGAGATGACTTCTGCATCAGAGTATGGCGGGCATGGAAGCACTGAGATGACTTCTGCATCAGAGTATGGCGAGCATGGAAGCACTGAGATGACTTCTGCATCAGAGTACAGTGAGCATGAAAGCAATGAGAGGACTTCTGTATCAGAGTACAGTGAGCATGGAGGCACTGAGATGACTTCTGTATCAGAGTATGGCGAGCATGGAAGCACTGTGATGACTTCTGCATCAAAGTACAGTGAGCATGGAGGCACTGAGATGACTTCTGCATCAGAGTATGGCGAGCATGGAGGCACTGAGATGACTTCTGTATCAGAGTACAGTGAGCATGGAGGCACTGAGATGACTTCTGTATCAGAGTACAGTGAGCATGGAAGCAATGAGATGACTTCTGTATCAGAGTACAGTGAGCATGGAGGCACTGAGATGACTTCTGTATCAGAGTACAGTGAGCATGGAAGCAATGAGATGACTTCTGTATCAGAGTACAGTGAGCATGGAGGCAATGAGATGACTTCTGTATCAGAGTACAGTGAGCATGGAGGCAATGAGATGACTTCTGTATCAGAGTACAGTGAGCATGGAGACACTGAGATGACTTCTGTATCAGAGTACAGTGAGCATGGAGGCAATGAGATGACTTCTGTATCAGAGTACTGTGAGCATGCAGACACTGAGATGACTTCTGTATCAGAGTACAGTGAGCATGGAAGCAATGAGATGACTTCTGTATCAGAGTACAGTGAGCATGGAGGCACTGAGATGACTTCTGTATCAGAGTATGGCGAGCATGGAAGCACTGAGATGACTTCTGTATCAGAGTATGGCGAGTATGGAGGCACTGAGATGACTTCTGTATCAGAGTACAGTGAGCATGGAAGCACTGAGATGACTTCTGCATCAGAGTATGGCGAGCATGGAAGCACTGAGATGACTTCTGTATCAGAGTAAAGTGAGCATGGAGGCACTGAGATGACTTCTGTATCAGAGTACAGTGAGCATGGAAGCAATGAGATGACTTCTGTATCAGAGTACAGTGAGCATGGAGGCAATGAGATGACTTCTGTATCAGAGTACAGTGAGCATGGAGGCACTGAGATGACTTCTGTATCAGAGTATGGCGAACATGGAAGCACTGAGATGACTTCTGCATCAGAGTACAGTGAGCATGGAGGCACTGAGATGACTTCTGTATCAGAGTACAGTGAGCATGGAGGCACTGAGATGACTTCTGTATCAGAGTACAGTGAGCATGGAGGCACTGAGATGACTTCTGTATCAGAGTACAGTGAGCATGGAGGCACTGAGATGACTTCTGTATCAGAGTACAGTGAGCATGGAGGCACTGAGATGACTTCTGTATCAGAGTACAGTGAGCATGGAAGCACTGAGATGACTTCTGTATCAGAGTACAGTGAGCATGGAGGCACTGAGATGACTTCTGCATCAGAGTACAGTGAGCATGGAAGCACTGAGATGACTTCTGTATCAGAGTACAGTGAGGAGGCACTGAGAACTTCTGTATCAGAGTACAGCGAGCATGGAAGCCCTGAGATGACTTCTGTATCAGAGTACAGTGAGCATGGAGGCACTGAGATGACTTCTGTATCAGAGTATGGCGAGCATGGAAGCACTGAGATGACTTCTGTATCAGAGTACAGTGAGCATGGAGGCACTGAGATGACTTCTGTATCAGAGTACAGTGAGCATGGAGGCACTGAGATGACTTCTGTATCAGAGTACAGTGAGCATGGAGCACTGAGATGACTTCTGTATCAGAGTACAGTGAGCATGGAGGCACTGAGATGACTTCTGTATCAGAGTATGGCGAGCATGGAAGCACTGAGATGACTTCTGTATCAGAGTACAGTGAGCATGGAGGCACTGAGATGACTTCTGTATCAGAGTATGGCGAGCATGGAAGCACTGAGATGACTTCTGTATCAGAGTATGGCGAGCATGGAAGCCACTGAGATGACTTCTGTATCAGAGTATGGCGAGCATGGAAGCACTGAGATGACTTCTGTATCAGAGTACAGTGAGCATGGAGGCACTGAGATGACTTCTGTATCGTGTTGCATGTGCGTCCAATTTACAGGTGGTCTAGCTTATTTGCATGCTGACTGTTGGTTCCTTGCCTCTCAGGCAGATGCACTCCAACCCTTCCCTCCCCCAGCATGTGACATCTTACTCAAAGTCCATCTGTGGACATTGTATGGAAGCCACCATATTGTCGTGGCTTCCGTGGTCACCTGCTAGCCCTAAAGCTTTGGGTTCGATTCTGCATCGAGTAGCATTAAAAAAAGATGCCCTTGTAGTCCAGTCGACCCAGCCTAAAGTAGGTATCAAATATGGTGTTGGGAAGTAAAGGTGGCCGGCATGATTTTGACCTCATCACCCATTGAATGCTAATGGGTATTTACAAATCTGACTCTAGCATCATTAGTCCAGGGTGCTACTGGCAAAAAAAGAGGTGCTTGTTTTATTTTTAATGAAATAAAAAAATGTTAAACTACACCTTTTCTTCTGTAATGCTATCTTCCAGACAATATCTTGACGTTGTCCACGCACATGTTATGTTGCCTTTCAATCTGTACTTTCACCTTGTCCGCCCACATATAGCATTGTCTTCCTGGTGTATGTTTCATTCCACTTTTCCCTCCACTACATTAGATTTAATGCTGAGCTGTGTTGTAGGTAGTCAGTTAAATACTGGCCACTTTCTGTCATCACAGAAGAGCCAACTCCGGTTGTATTTGAATACAGTAACCAGTCGAAGCCAATGATGATTGAAAGAAAAGATGGTTCAAGATCACCAACAGATAGAAAGAGAAGACGCAGGTCGCCGTCCTTACCAAGTGCTTACAGCTCAGACAGACGGTATGTGGACTTATGTTTCTGGTCTCACTGTCTGTTACATGTAGTCTGTTTGTGATTATAGTCTGCTGTCTGTAATTATATTCTGCATTTATATTCTGCTTCTCTATAATCAAAGCTGCCTGTAAATGTAGTCAGCTTGTGTGTAATTTTGGTCTGCTTGTTTTTAGTTACAGACTGATCATCTGTTAAATGTAGTCTGTTTGTCTGTAATTATAGTCTGCTTGTCTGTAGTTATGATCTGATTGTCTTTAATTATTATCTGATTGTCTATGGGGGAAGAAAAGTTGGAAAAAAAATCTCCTCCTATCTTTGGCATATCAGAAGTTGATACAGACCAGTTGGCACTCAATAAAATATTTCTCCAACAACATGAAGGCCAAATCAATTAATAAAATATGCCTCATTGCCGATTCAGTCTCAGTACTTGTATCTCTTTATCGAGTCTTCCATCTTCTGTAAATATGCATCCTAAGTACTTGAATTCTTTGAAACTTGTTCTAATTGTATGTCATTGATCTTTATGTTTACATTACTGTGTTTCTTTCCTATGGTCATTACTTCAGTTTTTGAGGTGTTTATTTTCATGTCAAATTTTGTAGTTAGTGAGCAATGAATCAACATGTTGTAGTTTTTGTTCTTCTTCTTGTAACAAACATTGGTCATCTGCAAAGAGTAGTTCATTTATAATATCTGTGTTTTGGTTTGACTCCTGTGCAATTTTATCCATATATGTGATGAAGAGTAGGGGTGATAGGACACATCCTTGTCGTACTCCTGATGTAATGGGGAACCAGTCTGTCATACCTTCCGTTGTTCTTACAGCGCTCTGGCTATTTTGATAGAGAGCCATTATGTTTCCCAATAATTGATGTCTTTCAAGAAGATGTCTTTCAAAAGGTATAAATTTGATGATAGTTCTACGTCTAATTATTTTCACTTCCAGGATGTCTTCGTAGACCTGGGACCACCTTTATTTTGGTTGGCCTAGTTTCATCTGTTTTTTTTTACTTGTTGTTTTTGCATATTGGCTGAATCTCTCGTGGAAAGTTCTGGTTGTTTGACCACTTTTAGACTTCAGCCTTGTTCTTGTTCAGTCTTTGCGTGCACATCCATTTTACAGATCTGGCTTATTTGAATGCAGACTGTTTGTTTCTCACTTCTCAGGCAAATGTACGTCAACTTAAAAAGAAACACGCCCTGATTTGTCAGCTTTTACAGCGTGCTTGTTAGAGGGATAGTGGGTTCCTGGAACTCCACACAGGGAGGCCTCCCCCTTTTTAAAAACCATCAGCGACATTACTGTTCTTTCTAAATCGCTGTGTAAGTTGATGCGGCCTAAGCATTTCAGTGTCCAAGGCAAAATGCCATAAGTTTTTCTGCAGTGGTCTGGTCTTGTGGAATGCCAGTATTTTTTTAAATAACAGAAACCAAAGATGTTTTATGTGTGCCATCTTCTTTTGCATGTACTTATCAGGAAAGGTCAGAAGAAGAAAAGAAATAATGACATCTTAAAAGATCTGAAAATTAAGGATGATTAGCTCTGAAACAGCATCTTGTCTCGGAAACTGAAATACTTTGGCCATGGATTGGTAGAAGAGAGGCAGGGGTTGACCAGCATAATGATGGGCACAGCTCATAAGAGACAACCATGGATAAGAAAGTGCATGAGGCTAGAGATCTCTCGAGGGGCCCAGCTTCTTTCAGGTTGCGATCTAATAGGCGCTGAATTCTGTAAAGGACCTGCTACAAGATGATGACCAGGATTAATGAATGATGAATTAAGAATCAACATCACAGCACTGGGGATACTCCCTTAAAAGCTTCACCCCCATCTTCAGCAGCAAATGAAGAGTTCCATTTCTGATGGTACCGGTAACTGTCTGATTGTTCATCTGCAAAATTCTCCTCAGACCATAATGATCTGTTTGTGACTACGCACTGTTCACTCGCTCCCAAAGGGCCCTCACAATGTCATACATCAATTCACCACCGAGTGGTGCAGAACCAGCCAGTCTATCTGCCTGCTCAGTTCCCAACTCACCAGCATATCCAAAGGACGCTAACTGAAGCTATGCCTACCACTCTGCACGAAGCATGCCTGTCTCCACCTTTCTGAACTTACGCAGTCAGTTACAATGGTAACATGTGTACAGCTGATTCTCAATCCAGCAGAAAGCAGCATTGACTGCCTTCACCTTCATTCTCAAACTAGACTGATGACCAGGAGAGAGATATCTTCTTTGTTATGTTTTCTTCAGGCTCCCTTGTTTACTATTGTTGCAGGAATTTCCCAGTAGGGTTTTGACCCATGTGAGATGTATTTGTTTCTTCCCGCAGATCACCAAGTCGACCCAGTCCAGCTGTATGGGCTGGACGTCCTGGGGCATGGTCAGGGGCAAGAGACAGGACACCACCATGGCAGCGACAGTCTCGGGATAGGACAATACCTGGCAGAAGGTCTCGCTCACGATCACCACACAGGAAAGATAAAAAGAAGAAACATAAGAGATCTAAATCAAAGTACGTTTTCGCCATTTTTGTTCGGGTCATATTGTATCTTTGTTTGGGTCATATTGTATCGTTGTTTGGGTCATATTGTTTCTTTGTTTGGGTCATATTGTATCTTTGTTTGGGTCATATTTTATCTTCAGTCTGTGTTAATTTAACTTCAGGTTGTTTTCTTAACTTCTTCTTTGCCTTCACCAGGTGTAAACTCTAGTGGAAAGTTCAGGTTGTTCATCCATTTCTGGACTTTGGTCTTGGTCCAGAACTTGAGTTCTGCCTGCACATCCATTTTACAGATCTGACTTATTTGTATGCAGACTGTTAGTTCATAGCATCTTTATAGACTGTTTTCTTAGCAGATTTATTCTTTTTTTTTGGGGGGGGGGGGGGTGGGGTTTAATTTATAGTTGTTGAGCAATTTAATCTTATTTATAAAGTGACATGAGACAGTTTATTTATAAGAGAAAGAAAACTGTTTAAAAGTGAAATAAATGTCTTGACTACAGATTTATCCCACATGGCTCAGTCTTTTTACAGAGAGCCGTGTACAAAGCACAGATTCTGTAACTCTAGTGACAGTCTCCCAGGGATCTCTGAAGTCAAATTAAACTGATGTACTGGATGATGTTGGTTTGCAAGAATGACTTTCTTTGTTTGAGTATAGCAAAGTTATTTTTACATTTTGCCGGAGTGGCAGCATGCCCAACCCTGCTCCTTTCTCTTTTGGGCTTGAGCAATGGCAGATATCCATCAATAAATTGTGACTTACAGCTCTTGAAAGCCCTGAACAAAATGTATTACTGAATTATGTAGTTTTAGAACCTGTTTATGTATTTTAAATTCTTATATTATTTCAGTTTTTAAAATGCCTATAAACATTAAAGAACCACAACAACAAGTATTGAAAGTTAAATCCATTCCAGAACAACAGAAAACTGATCAACATTAAATAGGATGTGTGCTTGAAAGTTGAAGAGATAAAAGAAGTATCTGGACAATCACTGTTACAAAACAAAAAAAGATAGTATTATATATCATTGAGAAGTTTTGATCACTAAACCACTGAGATTGAGGATCACTAAGTGTGAGAGAAACCCTGCATTGTTGAGAGAGGCCAAAGCTGCTTGACGGATTCCATCCATGATATCAAACTGTTTGTGTAGGATAGAAGGGAGGACTAGACTACGAGCCCTGTGTGATGAATAGTGACACAACAGGAGAATGATGACACAACAGGAGGATGATGACACAACAGGAGGATGATGACACAACAGGAGGATGATGACACAACAGGAGGATGATGACACAACAGGAGGATGATGACACAACAGGAGGAGGATGATACAACAGGAGGAGGATGACACAACATGAGGATGATGACACAAGAGGAGAATGATGACACAACAGGAGAATGATGACACAACAGGAGAATGATGACACAACAGGAGAATGATGACACAACAGGAGAATGATGACACAACAGAAGAATGATGACACAACAGAAGAATGATGACACAACAGGAGAATGATGATACAACAGGAGAATGATGATACAACAGAATGATGACACAACAGGAGAATGATGATACAACAGGAGAATGATGATACAACAGGATGACACAACAGATGATGATGACACAACAGAATGATGACACAACAGGAGATGAACACAACAGATGATGACACAACAGGAGATGATGACACAACAGGAGGATGATGACACAACAGGGGAAACAGGAGGAGATGATACACGCAACAGGAGAATGATGACACAACAGGAGAATGATGATACAACAGGAGAATGATGACACAACAGGAAAATGATGACACAACAGGAAAATGATGACACAACAGGAGAATGATGACACAACAGGAGAATGATGACACAACAGGAGAATGATGACACAACAGGAGAATGATGACACAAGCAGGAGGATGATGACACAAGCAGGAGAATGATGACACAAGCAGGAGGATGATGACACAACAGGAGGATGATGACACAACAGGAGGATGATGACACAACAGGAGGATGATGACACAACAGGGATGAAAGGATGATGACACATGATGACACAACAGGAGGATGATGACACAACAGGAGGATGATGACACAACAGGAGGATGATGACACAACAGGAGGATGATGACACAACAGGAGGATGATGACACAACAGGAGGATGATGACACAACAGGAGGATGACACAACAGGAGGATGACACAACAGGACAGTGGGAATTGAATGATGTACTCTGAAATGAACCGATGAGCTTCATAGCATCAGGTAAGTAGCTTGACCACTTTGCTATGGAGATTCCCCAAGGAAGAAAAAGACTGCAGCAACTACTGTAGGGTTATTCATTCTCTGATTGTTGTACATGGCTCACTCAAGAAAAGACGGGTATACAGATCATTTTATGAAGAGATTCTTTTGCTGACCTGAAAGTCTTGAGTTCAGACCCACAGTGAGGTGTATTAAAATATTGAACTGGCCTACCAAGTGGATCCAGTCCACAGTGGTTACTCAGAAATGTCATGATATTGGCCAAATCACCCATGGAGTGCCAGTTGGTCTGTATAAATATGCCAGATACACCAAGTATTATGGTGTTATCTCTTAGAAGAAGAAACTAGAATTGGCTACAGTCAGGTTGTCCATTTTTAAAACTTGAGTGTTTTAGAAGTCTAAATGATTGTTCTCCAGGTCACCCTCAAGGAAAGACCGACATAAAGACAAATCTCGGCATTCCCACTCTCAAGACAAGTCAAAGCACAGACCCAAGGACCGGGACAAGAAGAAAGAGAAGAAGAAAAGCAGACACAGAAGTAAAGAACGAGAAACCAAGCATTCGCGCAGCAAATATTCTGACAAAGTGACACCTGAAGGTCTTGTAGAGAACAGTGGCGACACCATTAACAATCCGTTAGATGTGGACCAGTTATTTTTCTCAGCAGGAAAAAGTGGCCAGAAGTGTGCCAGATTTGGGTTCCAGTGACCTGGCTGTGCCAGATGGGATTGCTAAACCGTCAAGCTCTACAGAGAGTGTCATGCGCAGTTCCAAGTCTTTCACACAGAGGTTAGTACAGATGTGAAGATGTTAGTTGGCCATTAGGTGATCACTTAGGGCAGAGGTTCCCATGGGTTGCGTACCCATTCAGGGTTGTGAAGGGGTTTCTGTAGGGTCACCAGGCAGTGGTTAGCTATAAAAAAATTTTTTTTAAAAGGAACACAAAATAAATTACATCATCACATCCTAAACAGAGATTTGTTTACAGAACATGGGTGCTGCTTGGCAACAGTTTTAATCATTGCATTAAAGGTGTCACAAGTTGACAATATTCTAACTGGTTTTGTACTGAAAAATCAGTTTTTCACGTTTTCATCTACCTTCTTCTGAGTTCATCTAAAGATGCAAGTGTTTTATGCCCGTTTACAGCATGGCTGCTATATTTATGGCTTTAAGCTGACATATTCGACTTCTGCAGACATCTGTTGACCGGGTTAGCCTTTCCAATTAGTTTCATGGGACATTGCAGTGTTCTTGTTGTGTTGTCATCTTTGTTTCCCAAGTCACATGCCCCAGATCAGTCTGTTTACCTTATTTTAAAGCCTATGTTTAATGTATGGGGTCGTGAGTCACCCTGCCTCTGTAAAATGGGGTTCCCGACTTGACAATTTTGGTAACCACTGTCTTAGAGTACTATGCCAAAGCCGTGACTTCAGAGCGTGAAACCACTTTGCTGCAGAAATCGCCCTCCCTCCCTAACCTTAATGCTGTTAGTCTTGTATTGTTCCTAAACTTTTTTTTTTAAACCTGATTGCTGTGAAGAATATTGAACATGCTGTGCAAATGTACTGTCTACAGGCAGATAAGAGATCTTAGGCCCGGCTAGTTAGCCTTCCAGTGACAAACCAAGCTGTGTGTATCAGTGAAGGGCTTGACTCATACCACAGTCTTCATAGAGGCCTACGATTTACACTGATAGGGACAAATGAGAAGGGAGATTGTTGTGACTGTCCTTAGCCTGTTTTCAGTGCTTATCTGATTGAACTATGAATAAATTATGTTCCCCAGCGAAAGCACAGATGAGCCTCAGGTGCCTTCCAACAGACCCGGTAGTATCAGTAATTCTCCAGCCATACACACAAGCTCGATTTCGATCTCAAGAGGCAGCACACCCAGTCGAACTTTAGCAGAGTCGGCATCAGCGGTAAGATGTATATTGTTTGATTATTTTTTAACCCTGTGTGGGTTCCAGGGCTCCATTTGTCGGGAAAACTAATCATAGACCCACTGCCTCTCTAACAAGCATGTTGTAGGAGTCAGCTATTTGGGAGCTTCTTTTAAAGTTAGAGGGCATCTGTCCGATCAGCAAGGAACAACCCGCCTGCACACAATAAGGCAGTAAAGCAGATGTTCACACAAAACTCAGAACCTGGCGCAAAGTCAAAGTCCAAATGCACTAACAGCTAGGACTTTCTGCCGGAGCTTACAGCCCGAGAACAAAGGAGGAAAGATTCTTTTCTAGAGGGAACACAAGTCTGCTCACAAATGAGGCAAGATTTTTTTTTGGATGTGCTTTAAACTCAAGGCCTGAACGAAGACCAGAGTCCAAAAGTGGAGGAATTTCCATTAGTTTACAGCCGGTGAATGAGAAAAAGAAGAAGCATTCTTACTATAAGCGGTTGATATCAAGTTTGTTTCATTATCTTCTAGACCTGTCCATTTTCAAAATATCATTACCAGAGTCAATGTCAGTGATTGATATTAAATTGTATTCTTGTCTAGACAGGTCTGTTTGTAACCATTCTACGCCCAGTACACTCCAAAAAATGGACCATAAACTCATGGGTATTCCCCAAAGAAATCCTTTAAACAATTTTTTTAGTCAGGTCACAAAGACATTTAAAAAAAAAGTTTATCTACAATTTCTCCACAATTTAAAAAGACTTATAATGGGAGAAATTAGTAAACGCATAGTGAAGCATTAATTGAAATACATTCCATGGGGTATAAACAAAATTTGTAATAGGTGACTCACGCTGCGAACTCTGACACAGGATTTTCGGTTTGTGAATTTTTGCTATTACAGCAGAATTTGTTAATGGATCTTTGATCTCTCCGCAGGATTTTTTTATTAATGAATCTTTGATCTGTCCGCAGGATTTGTTATTAATGAATCTTTAATCTGTCCGCAGGATTTGTTATTAATGAATCTTTGATCTGTCCGCAGGATTTGTTAATAATGAATCTTTGATCTCTCTGCAGGATTTGTTATTAATGAATCTTCGATCTCTCCGCAGGATTTGTTATTAATGAATCTTTTATCTGTCTGCAGGATTTGTTATTAATGAATCTTTGATCTGTCCGCAGGATTTGTTATTAATGAATCTTTGATCTGTCCGCAGGATTTGTTATTAATGAATCTTTGATCTGTCCGCAGGATTTGTTATTAATGGATCTTTGATCTGTACGCAGGATTTGTTATTAATGGATCTTTGATCTGTCCGCAGGATTTGTTATTAATGAATCTTTGATCTGTCCGCAGGATTTGATGAGCAAGGTTCGGGCCATGTTGAAAAAAAGCCGAGAAATGATCCTGAAGGAGGAAAGAAGTCTTTTAGACGACACGTAGCTCTGGTTGACATTGTTAGTTTGATGCTGTATATACCTGTATATATGTATGAGGACAGAATGTTTCATGTGTGTTTGTATGAGAGTCACAAGCTACATATATCTGAGTGAGAGCACATAGTTGGCACAACACCAGAGACACCAAAGTGCCGAATCCTTGTTCCATAAAATCGTGTTAGAAGCATTTTACTTGGGGAGATGTGACAAATTAAAATATTATAGTAGTGTGAAAAGTAATACCCATGTATGCTTTTGGCATATTGTGAAGTGTCAAATAACATTCCTGAATATGTGCTTAGGTAAAAACACCAATATTGCACTAAAGTGAATTTAGCGTAGTGATAAATGTATGCTTTAGTGTGTGTGTGTGCGTGTAGCTTGTTGTGGATACTGAGGTTGTATATGTGGAGAAACATAGGTTCATTTGTGTACAGCTGTGGAAAATTGAAAGATGCTTCTGTGTTCATGTATGCTTGAGAGGGCAGTGTGGAACATATGGTGGTTATGTTGATGTGGCTGAGATACGGGTTTCTATGCTTGCTTGGTGCAGATCCTCTTGAATATTTGGGCTTTAACTGTGAATCTGATACATCGGCATTAGGTTGTCTAGACCCTGAAATAGTCTTGCTGTGGCATTAGGTTGTCTAGACCCTGAAATAGTCTTGCTGCTCTCTTGCCTAGTCCCTGATTTTGTTTTCCATAGAAGATTTGTTCTCCTTATCTACTGCTCCTCCACAGTGACTACAGACCTGTTCTGCCTCTCCCCAAGCCTAAAGTACAGTCTGGTTTACAGGATCAGCACTGAAATATCTGTTGGCGAACTATTTGTGTTGGCATTTCTGACAGCTGTCTCATGCATTTAATTAGTATATGTGCTATGGCTGTGCAGAGACTGCAGTATGTGTTTTCACAAGGGACAGTGATGGTCATTGTGTGCAGTTTTTATGGGCACAGGAATGGAGCAAATGTGTGGTGACCTGTTTGTTGCCAAGTTGGAATGTGACTTGACTAACCTGGATGGGGGGTGGAGGGGAGACAAGGATGTAACCAGGACATGATTGATCACAGCACATAATAGAGATCAGGACTGGGTCCGTGTGGGTCATATTTTCTCCACAAGTTTGAGATGTTGCTTCATCAAATGACTTCTTCCCTGTGTGGGTTCTGGAGCCCCATTGTGGGAGGTAGGGGGAAATAGATCCACTGCCCCCTGTCCCACCAACAAGTGTGTTTTAAAAGCCAACTAATAGAGGTGTTTCCTTTGAAGACTACATCCGCCTGAGAGGCAAGGAATCAATAATCTACATAGAGATTTACCAGATATGTAAAATGGATGTGAAAGCAAAACTCGAGTTCTGGAACAAGACTAAAAGTCCAGAAGTGGACAAACAACCAGAACTTTCTGCTGGAGTTTACAGCCAATGAACGCAAAGAATAAAAAGTCAACAAACTTTAAATCCACTACCCAAGAGAAATGTATTTACTTAAATGATAAAACAAGTGTTAAGAAAGAAAAACTTTGTTGGCAGTTCCCCCCATGTTTTCCCAAAGTGTCGCCCCGAGAAAAAGGTTTCAGTACAAGTTGCTTATATGAATATTGGACTGTGGTTGAAACTTGTGGCAGTATCTGGAAGTAGTGGTCGTCGACTGGACAGGCCATGTTGTTGACTGACAGGTCATGGTATTGACTGGACAGGCTGTTTTGTCGACTAGCAGTTCCTGTTGTTGACTAGAAGATGGTGCTGAATCAGTATTTGTGTTATAGGAGAGAGAGCATTGTTTGGTTGTTGGCCTATTGTGATGTTATAGTGAGAGAGAGCATTGTTTGGTTGTTGGCCTATTGTGATGATGTTATAGTGAGAGAGAGCATTGTTTGGTTGTTGTTCTATCATGATGTTATAGTGAGAGAGAGCATTGTTTGGTTGTTGTTCTATTGTGATGTTATAGTGAGAGAGAGCATTGTTTGGTTGTTGTTCTATCATGATGTTATAGTGAGAGAGAGCATTGTTTGGTTGTTGTTCTATCATGATGTTATAGTGAGAGAGAGCATTGTTTGGTTGTTGTTTTATCATGATGTTATAGTGAGAGAGAGCATTGTTTGGTTGTTGTTCTATCATGATGTTATAGTGAGAGAGAGCATTGTTTGGTTGTTGGCCTATTGTGATGTTATAGTGAGAGAGAGCATTGTTTGGTTGTTGTTCTATCATGATGTTTTAGTGAGAGAGAGCATTGTTTGGTTGTTGGCCTATTGTGATGTTATAGTGAGAGAAAGCATTGTTTGGTTGTTGTTCTATCATGATGTTATAGTGAGAGAGAGCATTGTTTGGTTGTTGTTCTATCATGATGTTATAGTGAGAGAGAGCATTGTTTGGTTGTTGTTCTATCATGATGTTATAGTGAGAGAGAGCATTGTTTGGTTGTTCTATCATGATGTTATAGTGAGAGAGAGCATTGTTTGGTTGTTATTCTGTCATGATGTTATAGGGAGAGAGAGCATTGTTTGGTTGTTGGCCTATTGTGATGTTATAGTGAGAGAGAGCATTGTTTGGTTGTTGGCCTATTGTGATGTTATAGTGAGAGAGAGCATTGTTTGGTTGTTGTTCTATCATGATGTTATAGTGAGAGAGAGCATTGTTTGGTTGTTGTTCAATTGTGATGTTATAGTGAGAGAGAGCATTGTTTGGTTGTTGTTCTATCATGATGTTATAGTGAGAGAGAGCATTGTTAGGTTGTTGTTCTATCATGATGTTATAGTGAGAGAGAGCATTGTTTGGTTGTTGTTCTATCATGATGTTATAGTGAGAGAGAGCATTGTTTGGTTGTTGTTTTATCATGATGTTATAGTGAGAGAGAGCATTGTTTGGTTGTTGTTCTATCATGATGTTATAGTGAGAGAGAGCATTGTTTGGTTGTTGGCCTATTGTGATGTTATAGTGAGAGAGAGCATTGTTTGGTTGTTGTTCTATCATGATGTTATAGTGAGAGAGAGCATTGTTTGGTTGTTGGCCTATTGTGATGTTATAGTGAGAGAAAGCATTGTTTGGTTGTTGTTCTATCATGATGTTATAGTGAGAGAGAGCATTGTTTGGTTGTTGTTCTATCATGATGTTATAGTGAGAGAGAGCATTGTTTGGTTGTTGTTCTATCATGATGTTATAGTGAGAGAGAGGATTGTTTGGTTGTTGTTCTATCATGATGTTATAGTGAGAGAGAGAGCATTGTTTGGTTGTTGTTCTATCATGATGTTATAGTGAGAGAAAGCATTGTTTGGTTGTTGTTCTATCATGATGTTATAGTGAGAGAGAGCATTGTTTGGTTGTTGTTCTATCATGATGTTATAGTGAGAGAGAGCATTGTTTGGTTGTTGGCCTATTGTGATGTTATAGTGAGAGAGCATTGTTTGGTTGTTGTTCAATTGTGATGTTATAGTGAGAGAGAGGATTGTTTGGTTGTTGTTCTATCATGATGTTATAGTGAGAGAGAGCATTGTTTGGTTGTTGTTCAATTGTGATGTTATAGTGAGAGAGAACATCATATGGTTGTTGTTCTATCATGATGTTATAGTGAGAGAGAGCATTGTTTGGTTGTTGTTCTATCATGATGTTATAGTGAGAGAGAGCATTGTTTGGTTGTTGTTCTATCATTATGTTATAGTGAGAGAGAGCATTGTTTGGTTGTTGTTCTATCATGATGTTATAGGGAAAGAGAGCATTGTTTGGTTGTTGTTCTATCATGATGTTATAGTGAGAGAGAGCATTGTTTGGTTGTTGTTCTATCATGATGTTATAGTGAGAGAGAGCATTGTTTGGTTGTTGTTCTATCATGATGTTATAGTGAGAGAGAGCATCGTTTGTTTGTTGTTCTATCATGATGTTATAGTGAGAAAGAGCATCGTATGGTTGTTGTTCTATTGTGATGTTATAGTGAGAGAGAGCATCGTATGGTTGTTGTTTTATCATGATGTTATAGTGAGAAAGAGCATTGTTTGGTTGTTGTTCTATCATGATGTTATAGTGAGAGAGAGCATTGTTTGGTTGTTGTTCTATCATGATGTTATAGGGAAAGAGAGCATTGTTTGGTTGTTGTTCTATCATGATGTTATAGTGAGAGAGAGCATTGTTTGGTTGTTGTTCTATCATGATGTTATAGTGAGAGAGAGCATTGTTTGGTTGTTGTTCTATCATGATGTTATAGTGAGAGAGAGCATCGTTTGTTTGTTGTTCTATCATGATGTTATAGTGAGAAAGAGCATCGTATGGTTGTTGGCCTATATGTGATGTTATAGTGAGAGAGAGCATCTGATGTTATAGTGAGAGAGAGAGCATTGTTATATGACGTTATAGTGAGAGAGAGCATTGTTTGGTTGTTGTTCTATCATGATGTTATAGTGAGAAAGAGCATTGTTTGGTTGTTGTTCTATCATGATGTTATAGTGAGTGAGAGCATCGTAGGTTGTTGCTCATATCATATGTTTGTGAGAGAGAGCATTGTTTGGTTGTTCTTCTATTGTGATGTTATAAGTGAGAGAGAGCATTGTTTGGTTGTTGTTCTATTGTGATGTTATAGTGAGAGAGAGCATTGTTTGGTTGTTGTTCTATCATGATGTTATAGTGAGAGAGAGCATTGTTTGGTTGTTGTTCTATCATGATGTTATAGTGAGAGAGAGCATTGTTTGGTGGTTGTTCTATCATGATGTTATAGTGAGAGAGAGCATTGTTTGGTTGTTGTTCTATCATGATGTTATAGTGAGAGAGAGCATTGTTTGTTTGTTGTTGTTCTATGAGAGAGAGCATTTGATGTTATAGTGAGAGAGAGCATTGTTTGGTTGTTGTTCTATCATGATGTTATAGTGAGAGAGAGCATTGTTTGGTTGTTGTTCTATCATGATGTTATAGTGAGAGAGAGCATTGTTTGGTTGTTGTTCTATTGTGATGTTATAGTGAGAGAGAGCATTGTTTGGTTGTTGTTCTATCATGATGTTATAGTGAGAGAGAGCATTGT